ATTTTAAAAAATATTATATTTTTAAAATTAAAATTTTTATAAAAAAAAAAATAAAAATAAAAAAAAAAAAAAAAAAAATTATTATATAAAAAATAAAAAAAAATAAAAAAAAACATTTGCTCACTCTCCATGTTTTAAGCTTATTATTATCCACCGAAATTCATAATTTGACAAGGTTAGAATTCTTTTCGAATAAATACTAACTGTCATACGTGTCGTATAAGTAATTTTTAAAGAATCTTTATAGCTAAGGTGCCTACATGTTGTAATTACATATAATTATTTTTATCGGTGTACGGTATTTTTGTCACTTCTAAAAATAGCGTGTCAAATATATTGAAATGCCACCTGCACCACATTGCTTATCTGGGCCTTATCTATTCAGCCAAACTACTAGTAAGTTTATTCAAGTTGAGCCAAACTTTCGTCAGCGACAAAATTTTTTTAGGTTTAATTTTTATGTACAATTTTTAGGGCCGTTTTCTCGTCCGTCTGTTAAATTTAAAGGAAACTCTGATTTTCCATGCAATTTCAAGGTTTTAACCCTACTTTAAATTTAACAAACAGACGAGAAAGCAGATTTAAGGGTGGCATTTTAGTTGTCCTCCACATAAATACGAACTTTTTGCTTCTTCTGCTTAGTGAGTTACCACTGTATGTGGCAGCACACGCACAAGGCGGAGCAGGAGCGTGAGTGAAAAAAGAGGAAGAGGAGCAGCAGCAGCAGCAACAGCAGAGGCCCAAGCATTATTGTCGTCGCGAAACGTGAGCGTAACGAATGCGCAAGCAGAAAGGCAGCAACAAAGCAAATGCAGGCCAAAAGGAGGTGGAAGCGAAGGGGGGTGTGCAAGGCAGATGAGGAGAGGAGGGAGAGGGGAGGGGCGGGGACAAGGGGCAGGCAGTTAATGGCGCACAGGCAAAGAGCAACAGCTGCTAACGATGTTGACGCGCCGATGACGGCCACACAACCAAACGGGCAGACAGAAGAGCGAAAGAGAGGAGATGGAGGGGGAGGAGAGCGGGGAGCTTGGCTCTTTTATGGCTAAAAACGCTAATGTGACCGATGGAGCGGGATGTGAGATGCAGAGTGAGGGGGCAGTGGGGAGCATGACGGAGCGCAAAGCACACGCAAAAAGCCCAGGCAACAGCAACAGCAAAGCAACAAAGCACTCGGCAGCTAGAAGAAGACACCCTCAAAAGATGGAACGCCGCAGCGGCCAATATGGCGACCCTTGCCATTTCCCATTCCATTCTCACCTCCCCTCCCCTCTTTTACACCCACTCGCACTCACACTACCGAAATTAACGCAAAACAAATGAAGCACACGCATGTGCCGCAGTCGCAGTCGACGCTGACGTCAACGCCGGCAGCGAACTCAAACTCACAACAACAACAACAGGACAACAAATGAGCAGAATTGCATTTTGTGCAATTCGACCCCCAAAAAGTGAAGCTGGGCGCAAAAATGCAAATGACAGGCGGCAGACAGTAATCCCCTCGAAAGGTGGGCAGAGTTGGGGGTGGTGGGGGAGTTAGGCTGTGGGAGGGAGATGGACTGTACGCTCTTTTAGCTCATCGAAGTTGCAAAGGCCTATCTACACCACTTCAAATTTATGTAAGTATGTATCATAATTGATTAGGCGAGGAGAATTAATTGAAATGCAGTTGTACAGTCTAGACTTTAAATAATTCCTTTTGATGGAAGTATCTTATAAAATGTTTTTTAACCAAATACTATTGAAATGTATCCGTACATCAAATACAACCTTTAACCGTCTATAGTTTATGAGTCACCCAGTTTAAAAACGACTTTATCTTATTGTTTCCATGGTAACTTCTAGTAAATTACTAAAAATACGAAAGAAAACTTAAAATTCGTACATCGCAACCGGGTTACAGATAAGCCAATTCCAAGAAACAAAAATAACGTTCTCTTTTTTTCACCACACAACACTTCTTTTGTTTCTTTTCACTTTAATTTATGTATTTAATCGCACGTGTAGAGCGGCCTCGCAAATCGTTCAGGTCAACGCTGCGTCACATGTCACACAGCAACACATATAGACGACGCCCACCACCCAAAAACACAGCACACACACGCATGCAAACAAATGCATCGTAATTGCATTCGCACGTTGCATAAATAAATTTGTGTGTGCCGTTTATTCATTTGTCGTTGTTGTTATTGTTGCTGGCGCCATTTTGGTGGAGGAAGTTCTTTTTTGGAGGTGGGGAGAGTAGGGGGAGGTGGGGTGGGGAGGGGATGAGAGTGAAAAAGTGAGTGAGCGAAATGGATCAGCAAGAGAATTGCATACAGATGCACAAAAGTACAAGTACAGTGAACTGTTGCAACATACTAAATACTCAATGACCTTTTCCATTTCAACAAAAACTACTCAAAAACAATAATTCATCGCTGAGAATGAGCTTTAAATTGAGTGCAAGATAAAGAATCTGATTTCGAATGGCTATTGCTCAGTTCTATTTCAATCGCCGGTGCCTACGGATCATTTTGACCAGTTTCGCGTGAACAGTTCCCCTTTTCGCTCAATCGAATAAAAACACTAAACAAACGGACAAAAGGAAAGCAAAACAAAAATAAGAAGGAACCGAGCAAAGCAAGGCAAGTGAAAAAGGGGGAAAAAAACTTTCATTTTCAATGTCAAGCCATAACAACAAAAACAATGTCTGCCGGCTGAGGGAGGAATTTTTTGTTACAAAAGTGAGAGAGCCAAAAACAGAGAGAGAAATTAAGAAAGAGAGAAATGCAGGTAGAGAGATCTAAATTCGTATTTATTTACACTCAAGAAAATAAATGTTGCATTTATTATTTTCTCTCTTTGTTGCCATGCGCTTAGATTCGGTTTTTTTTTGTATTCCCTTTTTGATTTGTTTATAAACAAAACTTAATTGCTAAAGTCCAACATTCCAAAACACGTGCGATTACTTGTTGTTGGTTTTCACAGCAGAGAGAGGAAGATAGAGAGGGTGAGAGTGCGAGGGAGTGGGCATGAAAAACAGCTGACAGGCCGGGTTAGCTAGTTATCTCTTTTCCACTCCCACATGAAAAACGGTAAACACGCCACATTGTCTTTCAGTTGTACGCACTGAAAAAAATTAGATGATTTGACACTAATAAAAGATTCGGTAGAAATAGAAAATTTATCTCGATTTCAAATTGTTTTTTTAAGTATACCTCAAGAATTTTCTTTTAATTGTTTTTCTGCAGTCATAACAAACAGCGTATCTGTAGACAATGTGATTTACGGTTGGAAATATTTGTTTTCAGCACTTTGTTTTTGTAGGCTTTTTGGCGGGAGAGCGCTTTTTGCCCTGCTTGGTAACACTGCCACATCGCTCTCTTTCTTCCTCTCTCTCGCTCTCTCTCACGCCATGTGGTTACAACAATCCGCGTGACCTTTGACAACAACAACAACATCTTGCACCTTACAACAATAAATGCACATACTTGCAGGCACCCATTAACATACACACACACACGATATCACAAACTCTCACACAGATACGCGAAATATTGAAATTTTGCCAAAATAAAAGACGAACATTTCCCTAATGTCGCGAGCATACATATTATATACACCATATATAATGCGAAAAGAACTTGAGAACTCACCATGCTCATATGGCGAAAAGGTTCCAGCATCGATATTGATATAGGGGTCAATCTTTATCGAGGTGACGTCCAGGCCGCAGGACTTGAGGAGGGTGCCGAACGAGGAGGCAATCACGCCTTTTCCCACGCCGCTGATGACGCCGCCAGTGACCAGGATGTATTTCATCTTTTTCGTCTCGAGTCTCGAACTTTTGGGATCACAAAATCGCGCGGATTATCGCTTGGCCCGGTTGGATTCGCGGGGGGCACTCAATCTACCGTTATCTGAGCCACTCCGAGCAACAATTGCGCCGTTTATTTGCAAAAGGCTGCACGTGGTCCCCGAATTCGAGACTTTGGTTTATTTAATACGTATCGTTTCTGCGAAGAGGCGCCGGCGGTATGACCGCTTTGCGTTATCACCGTAATACCGATCCGATGAATCATCGTGTGTTGGTAAACAGCACAAAGTCAAATTCCGCACATTCCGTTAGATTTGAATTGGAATCGGCAGGAAAAGTAAACAAGGATCAAATTATAATGGGTAAACCATTACGATTACATTGAAAATAACATTGCTGGGGTGCAGATATTGTCTATAATTTTTATTAGAAAAATTATAAACAATGTATATAAATAAATGTTTAAAATGTGTATAAACTTCCACTTACTTTATTTATTTTAAGCTAAGCCCAAAAATTCCCATAATAAAGTAAATCAAGGTGCCATTTAACTACAATTCTTTTGCAACTACGGTTCTACTGCATTTCTACTACAATTCATGGTCGAATAAAACATATTAATATCTCAATATTCTTTCCAAGTAATAATGACAATTTAGTCTATTTCATGTTAATTTAAACAATATTTATTATTACTAATCGTATGGATCTTTTGTAAACTTTAATCAAAACATTTTTCACAGCTTTCACGATTTTATTATTTAACTAAGAAATTTCACAGCGACATTATTTCAATTTGGCAGTTAAAAAGATGTCCGTAAAACCACTTATATTTTTGTCCCGATCGAATTAATATAATTAAATTTAAATTTTAAAGTTTAAAACAAAAAGTGAGTCAAAGGAAAGATTACAACGCAATAATAAGTAAAAACAAACATTATCAAAATTAAAATCATTCCTATTTTGCAATTTTAAATGTGTACAATTGTCCTGAGCGACTCCCAGTAATCAGTATACATTAGAATCATAAGTGCAACATTTTTAAAATATAAGCGTTAGTTTCTCATATAATAATAGTAAAATAAGATTTAAGGTAAAACAATATAATTAAGGTATTTTGTCTAAAATCCGTATTATTAAATAAAAAACAAATGATTTAAAAAACCTCAAATTATTCCAAAAAATAAAATCAACCTCCACTTCCAGCCTGCGAAGCATTAAATGTTGCATGTTTATTCAATTTTAAGCGTAGGTATAAAAGAAATAGAAAACGGTTTCGACTCGGTAAATGCGTGTCAAGCGTGAGAAACTCGTCGGTCATAATAATCCAGTTACTTGCTGGCCTCCTGCTGCTCGAACAGGGGATACTGCTCGGTGACCTTCTCCCAGGAGGTTCTCGCCGTCGCCAGGTCCTTGACCACGCCCACAACCTCCTCCAGACCGACGCGCACCTGCTTCATCGAGTTGCGATCCCGCAGCGTCACCGTGTGCGGCTCCTTCAGCGTGTCAAAGTCGACGGTGATGCCGTAGGGAATGGCAATCTCATCCGTGCGCGCATATCGCCGGCCAATGGAGCCGCTGGAATCGTCCACCTTGTGCGACAGTTCCGCCTTGGTCAACGCAGAAGAAAGTTTCTGTGTGTACGGTTGGAAATCCGCATTGTTGGAAAGCGGGAGGATGGAGCACTTGATGGGCGCCACCAACGGGGGCAGGGTGAAGTAGCAGCGCTGCTCGTCGCCATCGCGACACTGGAAACTGTGCTCCAGCAGGGAGTACATGATGCGACCAATACCAAAGGAGGGCTCCACCACGCTGGGGATAAACTCCTCCACATGCACCGTTTTCGACGAGTGCTTCACACTGATGGTCTCCTTGCCGAGCTCGTGGCTCTGACCATCGGCTGTGGTCAGCTTGTATTGACCATTGGTGGATAACTCCTGCTCCACCTGAGTAATCTCCTCCAGCGACAGCTTGGCCAAGGCATCCGTAATGTTCTTGGCCTCCTTCTTGAAAGTCTTGCCCAAAGCCTGCTTGTTGGGCACAATTTCGCTGACCTCGACGGTTTTGGGCGCCGGCAGACGCTTCTCGGCGACGAGTCGCACTCCGGTGGCCGCCGTGTGCTGACCCAAATCGTAGGCACTGCGATCGGCACAGCCCACGCACTCCACCCAACCGTAGGAGGTGAGAATCTCGGCGTCCCAGCAATCGCAGGCATAGTGAGCCATCTCATTGGACATGTGCTGGCGGAAACGCAGGCACTCCGCCTTGATGCCGATGGCCAGGAGGAACTGCTGGATGCGGGCCATGTAATAGCCCAGCGTCTCGTTGGCCACCAGTTTCTGCGCCACAGCTACGCCAATTTCCACTTGACTGGCGGACTTTCCGTCCATCTGATTGCAGGCCGAATAGAGGGTCATCTTCTCCGCCTTGACATTACCGAATTTGGGATGATCCTTCAACACGGGATCGCAGAAATGCTCAATCTCCGCCATGGTGAACTCACGCACACGAATCAAACCCGATCTGGGTGAGATTTCGTTGCGGAAAGAGTTGCCAATCTGGGCCACGGCAAAGGGAAGCTTGCCCTGATTGAATTCCAGCAGCCGCTTGAAGTTCACAAAGATGCCCTGGGCGGTTTCCGGTCGCAGGAAGCCCTTCACCAGGCCAGTGGGTCCGATTTGGGTGGCGAACATTAGGTTGAACTCAATGGGCTCGGTCAAATCGTTGCCAGTTAAGGGGGATTTTATATTGTACTTGGCCAGCACATCGGCCAATTCCTGCTTGTTCAGGCCATCCAGCTTGATGATGATGTCCTCGCACTCGGCCTGCAGTTGGGCGGTGGCCTCCTTGGCCTTGGAAAGCTTCTCCAGAGCCTGCTTGATGAGATGATCCAGGCGGAAGCATTCGCCGGTCTTCGTGTCCTTGACCATCAAATCGGCGAAGCGCTCCACGTGACCAGAGGCCTTCAGCACGGGTTCGGGGGTCAAAATAGAGCAGTCCACCTCCAGCATTTGCTCCTCGAGCGCGAAATACTGACGCCACAGGGCCAGGATGTTGGATTTGAGGGCACAGCCCATGGGACCAAAGTCATACTGCCCAGTGATGCCGCCATAAATAGCGAAACTCTGGTCGTAGAAGAAGCGCCGCTTGAGGAGATCCTCCATCTTGGCGCGATCGAAGCTAACTACGCTGGGGGTCAAAGCGAGCTCCTTGTCCTCCAGCAGCTTCTTGCGTGCCTTCAGCTCGGCCACCGCCTTCTTGACGTCCAGCTCGGCTGCTCCTTTGGCCTTGAGATCCCTCACCAGGTTGCCCTGCTCCTGAACCCGCTCCCGCAGAGGAGCCAACTGGGCCTCGATCTCCGGATTCGACATGATGAACTCGGCAGCTGCTGCGGATCTTAGCTTGACCTTTCTATTCTGCTTCTTGGCGCCCCAAGTTTGAGTGGGTGGTGATGCGGCGGCGGAGGCGGGAGTGGTGTTCGTGCCAAAAAAGACTTTCGTGGCAATGTGCTCGCTCCACGTTTTTCTCGCTATCTGACTTCTCACGGCTGAGGTGGCGCTGCGCAGGTGGGTTAGCGCTTTCAACAACTGCAATGACATAGAGAAACCTTTACTTTTCCAGCCGGAAAACGCGAATTTATGTAATAAAACGTCCAATTGGCTGCTGCTGAAATACCTTCACTTGCGGCTGCAATTTGGTTCGTTGGATGAGTCTTTCGTCGGCCGGCGTGCAACAACACTGTTTCTGGTTAACAGTGCGGAACAGTGATGCGCAATGTTGTGACTCGACGTGACTAGGTCTAAAAAGTGACTAAAAATATTCGTTCACAGAAAAGCTACCGAAAAATAAAGATCTTTAATTAATAATCAAATTATAATGATTAACAAGTCTTCGAAATATAAAATTCAGAATTGTCTCAATAATCATGTTTTATTTGCTCGATGTTAAACTGTAGACAAATATAATGATTAACAAGTTTTCGAAATGTGCCATTAAATAGTATAAAATTCATAATTTTAAAGGTCTAAAAAGTGACTAAAAATATTCGTTCACAAGAAAAGCTATCGAAAATATTTATCTTAATCTTGATTTTTAATTAATAATCTAGTTTTATTAGCTTGATATTAAACTATAGACAATTATAATGATTAACAAGTCTTCGAAATGTGTCATTAAATAATTACACATAATGTAAGGATTCACAAAAATCATTCCTTAAGTCAATAGTTGAAAATTTGGTTTGTAGAGAAAAGGCACCATTAAAAAACAATCAAACAATCATTTTTACGGTTTTACGGAAATATTTTTATAAATCACATAAAAGAAAATTTAATCGATTTGATAATTATTTACGAGTTTATTTGTATTAATATCAGTTCAAATATAATTCTTTGTTTTAAAATACTAGCCAGAAATCATTTAGAATTCACTGTTTCCGTACCAGTGACTTCCCCACCGTTACTCCGGTAACAGTTCGCTAACATACAGATCACTTGCGCCTAACAGCACGGAAAGAGCCCCACCGCTTGCCAACACTGCCCGCGAGTGCGTTTGTGTGCGTGCAAGTTTTTGTTTAATTATGTAGGCGCAGCATTGCAGTCTGTTTTCTTGCGAGTTTTCCGTATAATTTGCTCAATTTTTGGTTTAGTTAAGCCGAGCTCAAGTGCTGCACAACCCAATTGCTCAAACGCGCAGCGCACAAATCGAAAAGCACGCACTCAAAGTGGAAAATAACGCCAGTTTAGTTGTTTTTCTGCGGGAGGACGCGGCGTTGCAACAACAGCGACGCTATGCGACCGCATTTCCAGCGATAAAACGGAAAGGTGTGCTCCTCTCTCCCTCTCTCTCTCCCTTCCGTTTGCCTCACCTGAGTAACTACTACTACTAATGTTTCTGCCAATTTGCCGAAATTGTAATGGCCAACAATTAAAAATTAACTCATTCACAGGCGCTGCCAAACATAACGGTTCTTGTTTGTTTTTACGACGACATAAGCAGCAGCAGCAGGCAGCAACAACAACAACAAAGGTCTTCTTTTGGTGAGTTAAAAGTTGTTTTTGTTTTACCGTTTTCCGTTCTTGACCCGTTTTATTTGTTGTTGTTTTTGTTTTTTTATGTTTGTGTGGGCCAATCGATCTGTTTAAATTATGCATTATAATTTATATTTGTTAGTCATAAGCGTAGTTGTTGTTGTCTTTGTGCGTGTATGCGTGTGCACCATTTACACCATTAAACATGCACAGTGGAGGTTCTTTAATTAGAAACCAACCCCCACAGTGGAAATGGAAACTACTGGAGATGCGGAGAAAAACCAGTTTGGTTCCTCTCAGCGAGCATCCACTGTAGGCGCACTTAATTCAACGACTTTTGCACGTTTGATATTAAGTCATCGCCGGCTGCGAAGGCCACAAAAAAAACAAAAACAAGACTGTACAAAGAAAAAAAGTTATAAAAAAAACCATACACACTACAAACAAATAACACCTCATCGAGCTTCTCTATGTTTGGGTTAATGTTCTGGCCATTTTTTGGAGAGGGTTCGCTTCAAGGTTTACAGTGGTTGTGGTGCGTGATGAAACGGGTGGAAATCGGAAACAAACAAAAACTAAGTCTGTACATACAACAAATTAACTAGTGCACGTCTCTAATACAAAAAGCTAACTCTGAACTAAAATCATTTTGGGGTATTCAGCAGATCTGATACTGAGTTTAAAAAACCATTATATATATTTTTGTACCTTATAAACTATTTTAATAAGATTCAAATATCAAGAATTTTAAAAATCATAGCTTAGGGTTCTTTAAGTAAGCAACTAAACATGTGTTGCTGTTGATAACACAAATTTAGTCATTTTATAGGATCCATGTGTCAAGATTTTCAAAAATCAGTGCTTAGAGTTCTTCAAGTGAACAACTAAACCTTTAATATCGAAACAGACAATAAAAAATACAAAATTTGTTAATGAAACTTTCATAATATTCACATCTTAGGCTTTTTTAATAGATTAACATCCCGTATCAGAGCTAGTTGAATACCCCCAATCAAAAAAAACCCCACATAAATTACATAAAAATAAAACCAGCTTAGAAGGCGACTGATCAAAGACTGCTTGTCTTTTCTAGGATCCCCCGAAATATCAAAACCCGCACCAACAACCCACCAACGAAGCCGACGAACCCAAGCAACCACTGGCGATGCAATTGAAAGCGCCTAAGAGCAGAAATATGGCCAGTCTTAAAGATGAGGAACAGGCGGCAACTACAAGCAACTCCACGAACAACCTCCACAACAACAACAACAACACAAATAATATAAACAATAATAGCTACAACAACAATAACAAAAACGAGGATGATCCCAAGGTTAGAAAGGAAAATCTGGAGGCCAGGAAACAGGCTTTGGAGCAGAGACTGAGTGAAAAAAGCTGGCTGTTGCAGCAAATTCAGAAGCAGGAAACGGCCATTATCAATGGCAACTATGAACAGATGACAGTCAATGAGTTTTTCGTCCAACTAGCCCAACAGTACAAACATGAACAGCAACTCCAGGCTTTGGCCAGGGAAAACAGCTCTATACTCAGGAGGAAACAAAGCACAACGAGCCGGGAAAGTCGAGAGAGCCAGATGACCAATAACAACAATAACAATCGTCAGTCGGAAACGCTATCGAATCGCAGTTCCGAATATGACAATTACCAGCCCTCCTCCTCGTCGGCGGGGGCGGGCGATATGCTGGTGATAGGCGTGGCCCAGCAGCAGGCGCAGCAACAGCCGCCGCTGGTGAAGAGCGCCCTGAAGAAGCGACCCACACCGACGCCCAGTCAAATGCAATATATGCGCCAGCAGCAGCAGCATCAGCAACAACAGGCGCATCTGGTGATGAACATGAACTACCAGCGAACGCAGCCGGATGTCATTTCGATGTACTCGGCAAACTCCTCGAATGTGGCCACTTTGAGGCAGCCACCGCAAGTTGCTCCCCAGCAGCAGCCAATTATTGTGCAGTGCGATAAGTATTACTTATCGCCCACCCATCAGAGTTACAATGAGGGCGGCTTCATCAAATCAAGTCAGAACATTAAGAAATATGTTTCCCCCTTGGCTTCGCCGAGCAATCACAGCTATGAGCAACGTAATCCTTTGCTTCATCAGCAGCAGCGGCAACTGGATGCAATATCCTTGGCGCCCAGCTACATTTCTGTCGATATGGAAGCAGCCCAGCACCAGCAGCAATATCGCTGGCGTTCTCAGTCACACATAGCACCCCTAACACCTCCTCAATTGGGTATAATCGAAGTTAAATCGCATTCCAGCGATATGCTGGCGGTGCCAATGCCACCCAGTCGCTATGCGCCGCACGATGAGATCTCCTTGTCCTCCTCATCCACGACCACGATTGAAAAGAAGCCCAAGTCCAAGCAGTGGATGGAATCGTCGCTCGATGGACCGGCTGTAATAAGGCAGATGGACTCACAGCCGCACAGTCCGGCTGGGAGTAGTAATGGCAGCAGTATTACCGGAGCAGCAGCCATGGCAACGAGCAAACCCCGCGCCAAACTCTCCTCTCAATCGATGTCGGTGGCTGGGCGTCACTACTCGATGTCCAATCAGCGGCCCGCGCAGAATTACCCAAGTGCCAGCTATGCAGTGAATACCAGTTCGAAAGCTTTGCTCAGTCAATCGACATCGTACCTCAACGCTATGGAGCAGACTTTGGGCATATCTGTGTCGTATCCACTGGAACCGCTGGACATACCGGCGCTACGAAATCTACCGCCCAAGCCAAGTCAAATGCAGCAGCCTACACCGCCGCCAAGACCGCCACCTGCCAATCAGAATCTGAATCACAGTGGGAGTGGAAGTATTGCATCCGGACTTGCTCATGGCAATGCTAATGCTATACAAACGGCGTTGGTATCGCCGCCTTTAACCGTGGCCACTGCCAGTTTATCGCCGGAAATTCGCATCGAGTCGCCAAAGAACATGACCGTCGTGCAGCAGGCCACTTTCCAGCCATACAAAGAGGTGACCAAACCCTTTGAGATGTCCGACTTCTACAAATACTCCACCAAGTTCAAACAAAAGGAGAGCGGCAATCCCAATTGACCTAAAAGGTTCCATGGGATTTACATCATATTCTCCGTTTTCCATGTGATTAGCTAAACTAATTTTGTACCACAGAGAGGAAACTACAAAGAAAAATAAGCTCAAATTGTTGGACGCCTTTCGAATTTCAAGTTCGTTAGCCAAATTATTTAGGACCAATGACTAACTGAATATTAATTAAAAACAAAAATGCTCAGAAAATTCTGCCAAATTGAACACAGACTTATGGAGAGCAATTTATCGAGTGACATTTACAATTTGTATTGCATTTTTTGAAATACAAAAAATTAAAACAGGACAATATTAGCCCCGCGGGGCACAGAAATCGCCTTACGACAGGATGCCTAGAAAATATGGAAATATTTTTAATAGACTTTAAAGCATTTTCTAAAGAAAAACTGACTAGCAATTGTTAAACAGTGTATTACAAAATATATTTACACTAATCGAATGATATTTTTGTATGAATATACAGATTGGATACTGGTATATTCACGGAGTTCTTTAAGACAAACTATTGACAAGCAATAACAAATAGATGTAAATAAATATTTTATATTAAAATGTACAAGAATTCGTTTTTATTCAACATTCTTATAGTTGTATTCCCTAATTAGTGTTTTTATTACGCTATAAATTATAAGTTTGGTACCTATTTGAGATTCTTGAGATAATTTAAATGAAAAGGAAGTTTTATATCTTCAATGCTTATAAATGTCCCATTAGAGCCATAAATATTTTCTCACTTCCTTAAATTATTCCTTATCAAGCATTTCTTTTTAAAGGCCAAATCTATGCTTAAAACTTATTTATAGAACTGCAGATAAAACTTAATTACTTTCCTCCTCTTTTATCTCTCAGATTTCTCTTTGTTTCTCTCCCCAATTGGGGATTACAAGAACGAATTCTCATTTTCTCTGTTCGACTCTCCCTATTTCGATGCGGCTGCAACAGTTTTTGTTTACGATTGATTATTTTTAAACAATCTTGTGTTGTGCTTCACTGAGCGTTACAGTATTTGGGAGTGGAGAAAATGAGAGGGTTTATCCCCCGAGACCCAAAAATAAAAGACTCATCGCAATGGATTTGGTTCTCAGTTGCATCGCGCTCGCGTTTACGTGCAACTGTTTCAGATCGGTTGCACTATTGTTTTTTAATTTCCCAATTTTTGTTTCGGATTCAGCTTTAATTTTCTCCCTCGAGGAGTACTGAAAAATCCTATAATGTTTGATTAAACGTAGCGGTTTTAGTAGCTAGTTTACCCCCTATTGTGTTGTCTTCGTGTAGAACTAAAAAATTCGAAAAAATTTCAATTTTTACGTAAAGTATCCAACATAACCTACAAAATTATTCGGTGTTGTGTGTGCGTCTGTGTTTGTAAGCAAATCAACCCGAAAAAATTAAGAAATATCGTGTCATCAAAATCCCAACGTAAACATCAACAAGAAAATGGATCTCATCTGGGCCGCAACTAGAACGTATAGAAAAATGCACAACTGACAGGCGCAAGTGTCAACAAAGGCAGCCAAGAAGCCAGGGAATAGGCCATAAATTATTTGGTTCAAGTGCAGTCACCATGAATCTGTACACTCTATACGATTGGGTAAGCCGAACAAGCACGGGAATCCATTAAAGTATTAACCCGTTGAGAAGCATCCATAGAACATCCATCATTTTCGCTCGCGGAATGTGCGATCTATGCGATCCACAAAAAGTAGGAGGAGTATGCTTTGAAATTTATTTTTCTAAACATACAATCCACAAACAGAGCGAATTGTTTTTCAAGTGTGTTTACAAATGAAATCGAAATTGAAGGCGCCTTTGAACTTTCGATTAGACGACCACAAGGCCCTTTAGAAAATTTAAAACAAACTACAGTGAAAACCACTTTAGGGCAATCCATTTTTTTTACCTTTTATGATTTTAAGAATACTACAAAGTGTTCAATTTATTTACGAATAGGGTGTATGATTTTTATGGGCCTTAAATATAACACTTAGAATATTTATATCTTAATTTAAATATTACAATATTTTTTTAAATAATTTTTACTACTATTTGGTTAAACAATTTTAATGGTATTTACTTACCTACTTATTATTTTCTGTTATGTAAAAAATTGCAAAGATTATTACAGTGACAGATCCAGGATTTTTTTGTGGGGGGTGATATCAAAACAATTTTTTTGTTGCACACTTTTTGAATACCAAAATCTTTTTCATTTTTCACCCGGGGGGGTGATATAAACCATATATACCATATAATATCTCGCCATCAACATTCCGGCAACAAATGTTGCTCACACACACGGACGCAAGCGTTTTTATGTTCCACATATAAATTTTGTTTATAAATAAAAAATTGGAAGCGAACATTCGGTGCACGGAACCGCTTGGAACCGCGTTGCAAATTTCCGCGGCACTCGCTCTCAATCGCTCGGGCTCTCCGGGGCTGCTCTTTTCCAACGCTTTTCTTTTGATTTTCCTCGGATTGAGTGACTGATTTCAATTGAATGTCTCTTCTGGCGTTTTATTTATAAAAGAACTTGCACTGCAGGCGGTCGCGTCGCTCCGCTTTCGGTTCCCCGCACATTTATAGCTCTAAAAAGATAAAAGTGCAGTGCCAGTGCCTATAAAGTTGTTTAAAAAACATCTACGAGCGATTTGCATATACGTAGAACTTTGCACAATGTAACTCATAAAAGGCATTGTCGATATATGGACTTTTTAAGTGACTGTAAATTGCATTTAATTGAGATAACTTCATCGCTGAATTGAATCGAATGAGAGGCGGCCAGCGAAATGGGGAAATTGCATGTGAGTTATTGTGGGCAACGTGATCTTTAACATCTCCCAGTGACATTTGCATCACTCGACACCCAAAGTGTGTTAATATCATTCGAAACCGCCTGATAATGAGCCACATTAGTGCTAGTTATTGTAGTGTAGTGGATATAGAAATAATATCTAATAACATAAAGATCGAGTACATGTATTTTATTAAAATGAACACCCAAAATACCAGAAAATTGTACTAAATAAAGAGGATCCACTGCAACACTTATTTAGTTAAAATATCACAATTTCAAAACTGAAAATGTTTTAAAATATCAGCTCAACCATAAGACATTATTGTAATTTTGTTTATTATTTCAAAAAATATAATTTGTATATTAAGAAATTATTTTTGTTATCGCCAAGAGTTACTAAAACGTTTTAAAATAATACTTTCTAATATTTTTAATAAAATAACTCAGAAAGTTTTTAAAAATACTCATAAAATGACGCCAGTAAAATGATATAACCTTTAAAATAACAACGCAAAAGCAAATCCTTTCCCTTATCCCACTTTATTTTTGTTCGACATATTTCACTGTCAATTTTTCGCCTGGCAAAGCTATTAATTTAATCATTTTCGCCAATATGCGTGCCATTATTGAAGGTTTATCGACAATATCTTATGGGAAATCAAAGGAAAGGCGGCAGCGCCATTAACAGAGACGTTGGGCTAGGTCCTGCGCCCATTTTCCTTTTTTGGGGGGGAGTGGCATTGTTGTTATTAGTCGCCGAAGTGCAAAAACCTCAGACGATCCACCTGAAATGTGTGTCACACCCAAACAACGGCCCCAAAACAGAGGCAAACTATAGCAACAAATTGAAATATTTGCAAGAAGGTGGGAGAAACTTTCGCTTTTCCGTCCCACAAGGCACGCACACTTGAAGAAAATCCGTTGTCATGGTTATAGTGGCAAACTTGTTATCCCGATATCCTTATCGCTGGGCAGGGACTTCCTGCTTGGGTTGTCTTTGCACTGACAAGTTCAAGGACGTTCAAATTACCATGTGGCTGAGAATTGGACAAGTTTTTCACAAATTCTTTCCGCTAATATTCTGAAAACTTTGTCAAGCGTTACGGCCTGACCCACATGGCGTATGTGTGATGTGGAAAATGTCTTTTGCAAATGTTCAAATACAGTAGTTATTAGGCGTGTATGTTTTTTTTTTTATTTATAAAATAATAAATAATTAAAAGCGTATAATTTAAACTTCAAGGTTCAAAAATGTTTGTATAAATTGTTTATATTGCTCTGAAAAAATAGTACAATTTTTATATTTTGCCTAAATTAATTTTACACACACAAAAAAAAGCACGTCGCCGTAAAATCGATAAGTCCAGGTAATTTTCTGGTTATTCCTCTTCATATCGTTTTTACCTGAAATATTCATAAAATTTACAATAAATAATATCATTTTGCCGAATTCTCTCTCTCGGAGATTCTCTAACTTCGAAAAAGAGCGCAAGAATCAATATGGCGAGCAAAATGACATGAGTGGAAGCGAGAAAGACTGATTCGAAATTCGAACTGACGTACTTCTATCATGTTTTCTCGCTCACACTATTATAAGTTTTGGTTAGGAATAAGGAAAATTTTCGTTCTTACATTTTCGACCATATCACATTTACCTGGCCCCATATCAAGTTAAAAATGATCTTAAAAAAGGTCAAATTGACCTACGATTCATATCGATTTTTTTTTGGGTGCATATTACTATCACTTTTGCATATAACCTACATCTACTGTTTGATCCACGCAATAAGTTCAAAAAAGTTTATTATTCTACCGTCAAACGCATTGCCTTGGCACATGTCTATATATAAAGGAATGCACGCGATCCAATTAGATCTCCAGCTGTGGAAAATGTAATTGGAAAATGCCTAAACATTTCCTCACTCGATTCGGGAACGGATGTGCATGTGTGGCACACGTTTCGAACACCTTCATCATACATAAATACATCACTCGAGTGGACAGAGTCGACTTTCTTAATTAATGTGGGCAAGTCCAAAAATAAATAACTCAGGCATATGCAACTCCTCCGCGAAGCGAACTTTATTACCAAACATAAAGATGCCTCAAATGTTTCTAATTATATTTTAAAGGGAAACCAACGACCGACACAGCTGCAATCCATCAAAGAATGGATGTGGGCAGAGGCAGTGTTTGCTTCTCCAGAAGATAGCCACCGATATCCTCACTTGAGATGCAGGTCAATTTGAAATTAAATGTTTCCAAATACATACCCAAATCTTCTCTAGGTTTTCAATCGCATTTGTTTGCGCAATAAAATCGCTTCTTAATACAACGTTTGCCCAAGTTTAGTGGGCCACAAAAGTCGGCGGACCCCGAAAAGAATCCTCACAATGCGTCTCGGACGTTGACAACTGGGTGACATCATTAAATCGAATCAAAATCTAGAAAATAAATTTATGGCGGCAGACGCGTGTTGCCTCAAATTCAAGTGGCACGGCCTGGTGGCACAACAAGTGGGCCAACGAAAAATTAAAACCTGCTCTTGTTTTCATTTGTTGTTCAAACAAATCCGAGTGTTCTCTGATTTTAAGGGCGGTGAAATGTCATCGAACGAATGTCCAACTTAAATGGTATAATATCTTGAGTTAAAAAAATATATTTTATGTCTACCTACGAAGAATAATGTCGGGAACTAAGTTTACATATTGTTCGATATTAAAAATATATTGCAGAATATTTATTTTAGCAACATATTTTAGAATATTTGTATATACTATATATTTGATTATAAAGTTTAACATTATCAAGTATTTATTTAAACCATATTTGAACACCAGATAAAAATAAAAAGAAATAGATAGAAATGAATAGAAATACTTTTAGAATAAAAAATATTTTTCTAAGGAAAATATATAGATAAAAGTAATATTTAATTTTTAATTTATTTTGGTTTTATTAAAGAAAATTTAAATATAAATATAATTTCATCTTTTTTTCCTCATTATTTTCTTATCTTTTGATTGGGTAACGTGAGCATCAAATTTTATTTTGTTCTTAAAAAAACTATTAAAAGTAATGGCTTTATTACAACATTTTTAAGAGTAATTCATCAAAGGAATACGTTTGCTGTAGAATTCGTAGAAACATAAATGCGATGGCCATTAATATTACTTTATTTACATTGCAGATCACATCATTGCTCCGTCCGCCCAGCGCGAGTGTTAGCTACAAGGCGATCGAAGCGGCGGGACTCGAAGAGTTGCCAGCAACATCATCATCGGCAACAGCAACAGCAGCAGCAGCAACATCCACAGCAGCAACATCGCGCGCCACTGGAGCGGCAGCAACTTGTGTGGAAGTTGAGTTCATACCCACGCTAAATTTTATATTTGAGAAGCCGACTTCGTCGAGTGAGCAACGATCTCCGGAGAATTCGGAACATGTGGCCGCTGGTGTGTGCGATAAGGAACCCTGCCGATGATTGCGACTCCGACAATGACTCCACGCACACTTACATAATCTCGAGGAGCAGCTGGACGGAGGTCACGTCGAGTAGCACACCATATGCAGTTACCTCCACGGATACCGCCGAACTATTGAGGCGACAGAACAATCTCAGTCTCACCGAGGAGGATCAGTCGGTGTCGTCGTTTAGCATTGAGCCACCCACCAGTTCCATGACCATTGACATGGCCGAGCAGCAGACAACAACAACGACCACAACAAGTAGTGCCGATGTTGTGGCAACAACAACCACAGCAACGACAACAACCACAACTAGTAGTAGCATTGAGGAGGAGATCGAAGAGGCCATCGAGATCAGTGAGGTGGAGGAGCAACTGGATTCCCCACTGGAATCCCTCTCGGAGGCGGCTGCCTTTGCCCGGCCAAAGGATGAGCAATCAAGTGCCAAAAGTTTAAGCAGCAATCCGGATGAGTTTCGTATCGATGATGCCCAGCTGTCCGGTGGTCAATTGGCCCAACATTTCCTGGTCGTCGATGAGGATGAGAGCGAGGAGGGTTCGGAGCTACCAGCTGGCTCCAAAGTGGAAGTGAGTCGCTCCTCTGATGACGATGATTTCGACATTAGTTTGCCATTGGAGCAGAGGAAACCTGTGCACTCCCTGCACGAGGATAACGAATCGGTAGAAGTGGATAACAGTTTGAGTAACCAAAGCACCACGGATGATGTCTCCGAATTGGTTGAGGAACCAGTTCTGGAAAGGGAAGATAAAACAGAGGGTAGTGAGGCTATCAGTGCCAGTGCTCCCCCAGAAACCCATGTAGATGAAAGCCAAATAACAGAGGAACAGGATCATTCGATGGAGGAAATAGTCGCCACCAATGAATCAATCGAAGTGACGTACGAAGCTGAGGAAACAGTGAATACTTCTCAGAAGCAGGACCTCATCACGGATTTGGATGAGGAACAGGAGGATCAGGTGGAAGAAATTATTAGGCCCTCGTCCACAATGGAAATCCTGAAGCTACCTCCTCTCCAGGAACCTCAAATCGTAGATCGTAAATCAGCAACAGCACTTACTACTTTGCGTTTGAAACCAGAGGCACTGGAACCTTTAGAGCTAACCATACTGGAAATGTCCGAAGATGACGATGATGAAGATGATGAGGAGAGTTCCCTGCAACTGATGAAGCTGCGATTGATGGCCATGAATCATCCAGCGATTACGGATAATGCGCCGAAACTTTCGCCCACGGAAGCGGAGCAAACACAAGTAACCAGCAGCTCAAACAATGCAGAACTCAAGCAAATGGAGCGAGTGCCGCTCACCGAGTTCTCCAAGGATGTTCTGGAGGATATCACCGAGGAAAGCGAGAGACTACTCTCCATGAGCACAACTATCGAAGAGGAACAGGATCCACCTTCCCTGTCGCTAGATGAGTCGAAAACTCTGCAGCACGCGGGTGCAATAAAGGCTGCTGGCAGTAGTTCCAGTTTGGTGAGCCTGAACATGCTCCAGCAACTGGAGGCCAAAGTACAGGAACTGCATACCCAACTGGAGACCAAGGACAACTGCCTGGCCTCGCTGAACTTGCAACTTGAGGCGGCACGAAGGGAATCCAGTGCGGGTCCAGCTTCGGCCAGGGATTCCAGTTCGCTGATGACCAACTCCACGGAATATCGCACTCTGCAGGATGAACTGGGAGCACCTGTATGTAATTCGATTATAAATGTTTACTCTATAAATAATATATTTGATTTTTTCCCACAGACTTTGGACATTTATATGGAGATGTCGCGGAGGGACGAGATGATTGCCAAACTTACCGACTCTCTGCAACAATCGCTGAATGTGCGTGAGAAGCTGCAGGCGGATTCCGATCGTATGGGTGGTGAAGTTCAGAATTTACGCCGGCAACTTCAGGAAACAATTGAGGCAGTGAAACGTTCGAGTGTCGTTTGGCCGGATCAGGAATGCAATCCCGGCCAGCGTCTCTCCGAGATATCTATGGATTTAATAAGCGAAAGCGATGATGATTTGGATCGTCATTTTCTCACCGACAACGAGGAGCGTGGATCGCGCAGCTCCAGGGAGAGACAATTTCCTAGCGAAGAATTGCAGGCGATAAATCCCGAGTGGACACCGGCATTTAGCAAGCAAATCGAGCAATTCCACACGTACTTGGTGCCAACGGAGCAACGCATCTTCCTGATGGTTCAGCGGAAGTTCGATGACTATTTGAACCAGCAGATGGCCTTGTGCCGGGATCAGGGCGCCCAGGAGCTCAAGATTGCCCGCGATCAGTGGGAGAGCGAGAAGCAGAGCAGCGAACAGATCCAGCAGGCCGCCCATGCCAAGCAAATGGAGGAGCTGCGCAAGTACTTCGAGCACAAGTGCGCCGATCTGGAGAAGCAGTTCTCGGACGATGTCTTCTCGCACAAGTCGCAGCACCAGGCTGGGGACAGCTCTTCGGAGTGCTCTGAGATGGATCAGCTGCCCGAGGAGGCGGCAGCCGCTGTGTCCTCCAAGGAACCCTCCCCACGCAAACGAAAGAGAGCTGAGCTGCTTCTCAGTCCGAGTCACAGGCAGATGACTCCTTGTGGACTGGACTCCCTGGGGGAGACCACTGGACAAGCTGGCAAAGATGTGAGTCTAATTGTTTCGTAGTCACGTATTTCTCTTATTTGTGTAGTTAATTAAGAAGGATTAGGCTAAGGATTGTATAGTTTTTAAAACTTCAGTTCAATCTGAGATCTATAAAAGGAAAGGATGTGTGCTATAACATTATTTAAAAATGCGAAGGCAAATTGGATTATTTATTTATTTAAAAGAATGTACATACAAGTTTCGTATCATATTCCCCTTATCATATTTGCATACAAAATTGTTTATGAAAAAAAACAGTTAAGAACGGGAACTTAAATTGTATGAACGTAAATTATATACAATGAGTAAAGACGGTAATATTTGGGGCCTTTAAAACTAACAAATATATTTTTTAATAATTTTTCAATAACAAAGTTAAAAAAAACCAACTTTTTTTATTATCGTTTTTTTTATTAAATTATACAAAATAAATATTATTTTATATAATAGGATAAAAAATATTAATCATTATTTACAACTAGTTATTGGTTACTTTATTTATGAAAAATATCTATAGGTCTAAGAATTAACACTATTTAGTCAACCATTCATAATTTACATATTATGTTGCCTACTAAAACATTTATAATTCTCTTTTATAGAATTCTGTGGATATATCCGACCTGAAGATATTTTACCAAACGCATATTAAGGAGTTGAAACGCGCTCATGAAGACCAGGTTCGCAAGCTGAGTGATCGCATAAAGTTCTATGAACGCCGACAGGGTGACGATGACTATAAGGTGTGTATTTACCTCTTTAAATTAAATCCCAAACAACGTTTCATATCTAAGCCTGTTTTGACTAACTTAGCTAACTGCATGTCCATTCTTGTTTTTCTCTCCGAATTTTATAACCCAATAAAATGAACTAAACCAATTGTAACTACCTGCAATCAACACCCAAATGCAAAAACTAACCCAGCCTGCAACCGAATCACCCACTCCTACCTGCCCGGAAAAGGGAGCCGTAGAAGGACTCGCGAATACCTCGCTAATCATCATCGATGAGGACGAGTTGAACTTTAATAACGAATCGCAGGTGATCCAGCGGATTATCGAGGAGTATGAACGGAGGTTGCAGGAGCAATTGGCTTTGGCTCGACAGGACATCGCCACCGAGTTGGAACAGCAGATTCAGGTGAGCGAAACAGGCATGTGGCATGGCTTTCATTGTTCAACTCATCGCACGTTTTTGTTAACCGAAAATTATTAAAAAATTTTAATTCATTAATATTATAGGCATTTATATTTTTTTTTGTAATCAGAGAACATAATTTTTTGTGAAAAATGATTTTGCAAAAACTACAAAGCTTTTTATTTTAAATACTCGATTAATCCTTTGTGTCAATTTAAATAATTGAATCATCCATATACATTTGGTCGTTTATTGGACTTTCTTTTGCCTTAATTTTATAAAAACCGATTTAATTAAGATAAATGACCAAAGTAAACGTAGTATGCGTGATTCACTTTAATGATCAGTCTAATCTTAAAGTATCTCCCTTGCAAAAAACCTCTCCACGAGCATAAATTATTTTTAAACGCGCTGCACGCCGCTCACATGAAAAAAAACGTGCGAAATTTGTCAAGTAGCCAAAATCACAAATGAAAGCAAGAGGCAAAAAAAGAGGGCTAAAAACAGAGCAACATGAAAATCATGCTGCCACAAACGTGTGCCAAAAGAACTTTCAACTCACTTCGAATTATGTAGCATTAAATCAGTGTGCACTTTGATACCTGGGCATGTCGCTATTTATACCCGGCAGTCAATGATCCCCAAGAACCGTTGACAGATGCCTCAATCCCTTCCAGCAGCCGCGTCAATCCTCACTGCCTCACCAAATATGGTGGCCACGTGTCAGCCTATGGATGGAATAGGTAGAGAAGACCTCCCCTTTGATGGCGCTTCTCAGCGACATTTTTTGTTTTTCTTTTCTACGACACCAAAATAAATCCATCGAAGGTCAAAGACTGCTGGATTGGCCATTGTGTTAACAGTGAATATTGACTAAAGGTCATTTCAATTAGGAGAATATAATCTGGGATCATTGGTTCATAATTGTATTTATAAGGGACTTAACAGAAAAAATATTGGATAGGGGTAACAGATACGTAATTATACCCGTTACTCGTAGAGTAAAAGGGTATATTGTATTCGTGCAAAAGTATGTAACAGGGAGAAGGAAGCGTTTCCGACCCCATAAAGTATATATATTCTTGATCAGGATCACTAGCCGAGTCGATCTAGACATGTCCGTCTGTCCGTCTGTCCGTCTGTCCGTCTGTCTGTCCGTCTGTCCGTCTGTCCGTCTGTCCGTCTGTCTGTCTGTATGAACGCTGAGATCTCGGAAACTATAAAAGCTAGAAGATTGGCATTTTTGCATACATTTTGCATACAGATTTTAGGAGTTCCTACGCAGCGCAAGTTTGTTTCAAAATGGTGCCACGCCCCCTTTAACGCCCACAATCGCTTATATACGATTTTAAAAACTTTAATATTTTGGAAAAGTAAAAATGCAGTTTTATTGTGTTTATCAATACCTATCGAAATGTAGAAAAAATTTTTCAAATCGGACCATTCGTTAAAAAGTTATGCGTGATCAAAGTTTTCAATCTATATCTCCATCTCCATCTCCCTCGCACTCCCTTTACCTGAGTAACGGGTATCTGATAGTCGGGGCACCCGACTATAACGTTCTCTCTTGTTTTAAAATAAAAAATTAAAAATTAGAAGACACCAATTAAATTAAATTAAACTTTTGTGATCATTTTGCAAATATTGATACTATTTATTTAGTCATAGGTTCTGACATTAAAATTATTTAGATTTTTTATTAACTAAAATAATTTCATAATTTTTGAAAATTTACTGTCGATGCAAAGCAGAGGACCATTTAATTATTTAAACTCATACTTTCAGTTTATTAAAATTTACAAGATTCAACCTATTTCTACTGTGTATTTACGCACTATTCAAATACTATAAACTTAAATCATTCTGGTATAAAACCCTACGACTGTTCACCAAAACTTTTCCGCCCCACTTATGCTGTCAGAAAATAGTCTTTTATATGTATCATATGGGGGCTATCTGCCGATCGTTCTGTTTGCCAACAGCAAATTTCGCAGACATTCTGTGGACTATATGACAATGCAAAGATGTGTATATATCTAAACAAGAAAAGAGCGCGCCAAATTCTCGTTGAAAGACAAACATGTGCTCGTCCTGTTGTCAAAGCATAATATTTTATTTACTTCACACCAATCTAATGAAGTCATGAAACGGAGATAATAAACTCAAAGCAGGAAGTGTGGCTCAAATGGGGATTAATGAAAGGGCAAAAGTGGAGCAGAAACACCCCCACAAGTGAAAAAAGAAGCAAAGAGTGGTTCTGTCTACATAACTTTTCAAAATTAACGCTCATAAATTTGAATTAATTCCAACACGCACAGAGAAAGAGAGAGGAAGCAAGCAGTGCAGCGAACTGCTTGAGGCGATCCCTTCCGAACTCTCCCGATCTCTCCCGATCTTTTTCCGCTCTCTCCGCCGATTTTCATTATAATGGGCTGCCTGCTTTGGGTGGCGTTCACTCTTTCCCGTTACTTCGATGCGTGCGTACGTCTATATCGGATAATTCATTCATCTAAATAAAATACAATCTCACAGTGTAAAGAGTGAGAGAGAATTCTACGGATAGATTCTACAGATCTTCGCGATCTTCAAGTGGTTCTTGTGAAACGCAAAATAGGCAAATCATTGCCAAAAAGCGGAAAATAATTGTACATACAAACAACTAAATTAAGTGGTTTTATTGTGTCCATTAATTGGAAATTTGTGTTGGTGCCTGGATTTAAAATCTAACGGTTTTTGGTGTGTCGAGATATTTGTGAACTAAGAAAGAAAACTACGGATCCAAAAAAGGAACTTCAAAAGTAAGCAAAAGGAAATGACTAAACAAACTAAATTTGTTAAGAGTCCATCACTCAAAAAGTCTCCCAAAAAACACAGACTAAATAAACAAACAGTCTGCACTTTGTCAAAGACTTGTCTTTCTCCCAATTGACTTTAAAAGTCGTTGCCCTTTCTCCCCGAAAAAAAGGAAATTAAAACCGAAGAATTCCCATTTCCAGTCGCAATCGGTCCATGAGGAGTTTATTTTTGTCCAAGGCGCGAAAATTTCGGTTTCTCTTGGAATCTTTATTTGGGTTATATTTAGTCAACTTCCCGGGGCCCCAAAAGAAGTGCCTTGTTGAAAATTTAATTTTGGGTTCTATCCTTAAACTCAGGAATCAATTTCAGGACTCTCAAAAAAAAATATATTATTGGCATAGTGGAAACCGATGATTATTTTTTGAATTTTATTCTTTCATTATTATTGAAAAGGGGGTATGATAGTAATTAAAATTTTATAGGCATTTGAGTAACCTTTAAAACCGAGTTTAATTTAAAATGTGTAACAAAAATTAAAGGCTCTTCAACGGCGGCAGTGGGTCTCTAAAGATTCATGTAAAACCAGCCAACTGGCTTTCTTGGCTAAGTGAATTTTAATTGAATCGTCAAGAAACCGGAACCGCCCCTAAAATTAAGCAATCAAGGAAATCAATTAGGGCAACCCTATATAATGCAGTTCCGAAAAGATATTATATTAATCGGAGTTTAGATTGGTGAAATGGATTACGACCGAATTCGACCAGTGCGGACCTTGACAGGAATTCTGGAGTGGTGGCGTCTTTGGCCCAAAAAGGGGTCCATTTCCAGGCCGGATTGGACTAACTGGCGGGGATATCTGCTGCACATTCCCTTCACCCTGCTCTTTATGGTCCTTTTGTGGGTGGAGGCCATGCTGAGCAGGGATATCGAACATACAGCCGATGTTCTATTGATCTGCTTGACCACAACCGCTTTGGGTGCTAAAATGCTGAATAATTGGAAATATGCCCATGTTGCTCAAGGGATTTTGACCGAATGGAGCACCTCGGATCTTTTTGCGTTGAAAACCAAACAGGAAGCGGATATGTGGAGATTCGAGCATCGACGTTACAGACGCGTCTTCATTTTCTACGGCTTGTGCAGTGCCGGTGTGATTCCTTTTATTGTGATCCAACCTCTGTTTGATATTCCCAATCGATTGCCCTTTTGGATGTGGACACCATTCGATTGGCAACAGCCGGCTATCTTTTGGTATCCATTCATTTATCAGGCCATTACCATTCCGATTGTCTGTATCTGCAATATAACCATGGACGGTGTTAATTGGTATATGATGTTGCATCTATCGCTCTGTTTGCGAATGTTGGGCCAACGATTGAGTAGCCTTCGCCATGATGAAAGGAAACTAAGGAAAAAGTTCCTGGAATTGGTGCGTCTGCATCACAGACTCAAGCGACAGGCCTTCGACATCGAGATCTTCATTTCGAAGAGCACTTTCACCCAAATTCTGGTCAGTTCCTTGATAATTTGCTTCACCATTTACAGTATGCAGATGGTCAGTATACAGAGAGGTTTTACTTTATCGGTTATAACTAAGTTAATCCCTATACAGAGTCCCGTCATGCAGGATCTACCAGGATTTGCTGCCATGATGCAGTATCTGTTGGCCATGATCATGCAAATCATGCTGCCCAGCATTTATGGTAATGCCGTCACCGATTCTGCAAATATGTTGACCGATTGCATGTATAATTCCGACTGGCCGGATATGAATCCTCCAATCCGCCGGCTCATCTTAATGTTTATGGTGTATTTAAATCGTCCCATGACCTTAAAAGCAGGTGGATTTTTTCATGTCGGCTTGCCTCTGTTTACCAAGGTTGTTGGGTTTTATTTTGAAGAGATTCCTTTTATAAGACATCTCCATTTCAGACCATGAATCAAGCCTATAGCCTGCTGGCCTTACTGCTCAACATGAACCAATAGGAAAGAAGTTGTACTCTATAGAGCACTATGCTTTCTATTTTGGATTAGCCTAAAGATTTCGCCGCTCGTTTGGAGATTTATTGCCGCGTCTTGTTATGCAAAGATCTAAAAATATATTGTAGCATTGCACGAAATACACGTATTCCTATATATACTATATGTTGAGTGCACATGAAATGTAGAATTGCAAGTGACGAAAATAAAATTCAAATTTTACTCGCACAAAGATTTGCGGGAAAAGCTTTTGCTCTGGCAATACGTGTTATTTGGAAATATAAACAAAGGGTAAACAAGTGCGTTTTATTATTTTGAAAGGGAAAATAAGTTAATTGAAATAATATCAAAAGAAAATATTAAAATTCAAGAGCACAAGACCTCTTATTTAATTTTTCCAATTTTCTTAAGATTTTATAAATCTGTACCCCACTGTTTGCCTACGTAAAAGCCGCGAGTAAATATTGGAAAATATTGAAAACAAAGAAAACTCACAATCTGCCGGGATCACGACCCTTTAGTGGGAATTGAGAGAACAAATGGGAGAGGTTGAGCAAAACCACAGCGATAAGACAACTTGGTGATGATAATCCATTGAATTGCTTTTAAATCGTCATCTTTGAGCTATATTTAATTGTATTTAATGCGATTTTATGCTCAATCCACGAGTGAGGGTGTGTAGCCGCATCCAAAAATAAAATAAACCCCAACTCCGTCCACTCCCTTTTTCTCTTCTTTTTATCCGTTTGGGCGGGGAAGATTTTTATTAAGATTTATGTATCTGGCTCCGTTTCCGTCTTTGCCACCCTCAAGGGACCCGACACACTCGGCTGTATCTCTGACTTTGGATGATCCACATCATTTCCCATCTATATCATGTAAATATTTTGAGACGAAGCCATAAATATTTATGCTCTGGCAAAAAGCGGGAAAAGTTTCTTCTGAAAGCTTGATCTGTCTCCGAATTTTTCGATGCAATATGCAGCCGACTGGGGCAACAGCTTTTCACACATTGTCCATAAACAAAAAGTTTTTAATCCATGTAAACAATTTGCATTTTCAGAATTTGTTGTCGGAAAACACAGTGGACGATCAGCATTGGCCCAAGGAGCTGATCTTGCTGCGCGAGAAGTTTACGGCCAAGAGTCAACTGGAGATCACTCAGCTGAATATTAAACATGCCGACGAGGTGAGTACCGAATATATAGATTTTATTCATTTCATTTCAAGTAAAAACTTATATTTATTGCGCTAGTAAATTTAGATGTACTACTTAAAAACTAACAATGTTTATTTTATATTTAAAGTATAAGATTGCAACTATCTTCAATCATGCAAAAGTTCTTTGATATTTGAGAAGTATAATCTAGGTACTAAACTATGAGGAAGAACACTTAAAGTTCGTTTTAAGGCATTGATTTTTTTATTTATATCAAAACTAAAACATTTTTTAACAAATTTCCGTAGAAATTCAAAAATAAATTTAATTAAAATTAAATAATAAATTATTTGGGAGAAATGTACTTACTTCTTACTCTATTAATTTTTAAATATTTATTTGGATTGAAAATATTTATTTGATTTAAATCAGTTCTTAGCGAAAATTTAGGATATTTAATTTTAAATGTGGACGTTGTATCTTTGAAAACTGAATTGATTCTTACAATTTTAAAGCGAATTTTATAAATATTGATAGATCATCACTTGTGTATCTATGAATATGATAAATTAATGAAATATATCTATCTTCTCCCGCAGATGTCGCGCATGAAACTGGAATACGAAAAGCAGCTGAATCGGAAGAACAAGCGCCACTCGACCTTCGATGCGACCCGTGACCTGGAGCAGGTGATCTGCGAGCGGGATGGCTTGAGGGAACTGTCCAAGAGTTTCCGCAGCGTGCTCTGCCGGCTGGCCAAGTGTGTGGCGAACTGTGAGGAGGATCTGAATGCCACACTCTCGGAGGAAGTGCAACGCCTGCTGTTCCACAGTCGCAGTCAGGATGCGGGTGCGGATGACCTGGAGGTGACGCTCAGTGGCTCCCTAAACAACACAAAGCAAATGCTCCGAGTGCCGGATGTGCACAGTCTGCTGGAAGTTGTGGAGGATCCCAGTTTGGTGCAGTTCATCGACAGCAAGAGCAACGAAGAGCCAAGCGAGGACTTTGATTTGAATGATTGCCTGGAGCGCCTAAAGTCGGAGGCTTCCTACCTGTTGCATTTGTCAGAGGATCTGAACAAACAGCGACCGCATGACGAGTCCGCGGAGCACTTGGACGAGCCGGAAAAGCAGGAGCATGAACTCTGCTGCGAGGCGGAGGATGGTCTGAAGACGCAGCAACAAGTTTTGTCCAAATTCCTGCGCACAAATTCCCTGAATGACCAGCAAATGGGCGTGGCCAGTCAGCGGAAGAACAGCAATCCGGAGGCGGGAAAAACACATACCTCCTTGCCTCCGGATCTTCAGCAGCATGCGGGAAATGCCTCGGAGCTATCCTTCCAGCTGGTGCAGCTCAAGAATCGCCTGATCAAGTCGGAGGCTGATCGACAGAATCTGCAACAGCAACTGAGTCACACTATTGATCGCAATGCGGAACTGGGCCAGGAGCTGCAGGCCCTCAGGGATCAGCTATCCCAACTGAATTCCCTTAACCACACGGACTACAACGAGGGCTATGGTTTGGGGCCAATGAAGAGCCTGCAGGAGCAGGGATTAGATCAGTCATCGGCCAGCTTCCTTGCCCTTCAGGAGCGGGCGCGTCATTTGCTCTCATCTTCGCCGGTCAAGGAGCAGCCTTCAAGGGATCAGGCGAACTCCACAGTTACCCTGCTGCAAATGATCGAGGACTTTTGTCGCGAGGGCGACAAGGTGGTGGAGTGTGGCAAAAAGGACCGCGAGGATCTGCAATCTCAGGTGAGTTTAGAGTTTAAAATGCCACAAGGATCACCTTTTCCTTTTGAGTTTTCCCCTCAATCCCTTTTTACTTTGAGTGCTAAACGCATGATCCAAATAAATTCGAGTAGTTCGTAAGCCAGGTTATTTATCCGTTTCGATACCCTTTCCTCTGACCCATAACCACACACACACAAACACAGATCGATACCGCTGACAAGCAGCTAAAGGACACCAGGCGATTCCTGGAGGATCAGGCCGCCGAGCGCGAACAAGAGCGCGATGAATTCCAGCGCGAAATCGAGCGGCTGAAGGCTCAGTTGCGCGACAAAGAGAAGGAGCACAGCTCCTATGCCAATGCCTCCGAGGAGGTGAGTCCCGTCCACGGTTCCTAACTATCTGATCTCTGGGTTTTGATCTTGATCTTGATTTTGGGCTTGGTTTGACTTTCGTTTGCGTTTTTGCCTGGGTTCACAAAGTCTTTTCCTCTGTCTTTTCATATCTCTCTCTTTTTTGTATTCCCTCTATTTATTGTTTTGTATTATTTCTTAGTTTTAGTTATAAGTTTGGTTATAGACATCTAAATATTTGGCCTTACTTTTAATTAACTGACACAATTGCGCACATATTAACAAAAAAACTGCTTGAAAAGTACTGAATTCTGGAAACCATTGAAGAAATTTCCATGAAGAGTTTACTAAATCGCATGAGGGGGCACCTGTTGGGCATAATTCAATTGTAAATCCCCCTGGGGGGCTATTTCAACGGAGTCAAGGGCGGCCTCTACATATATATATGCCAGAGCTTTTGTAAGCATGTGCCGACATATTTATAGACCCGAAGATATAGACTCTTAAGAACGTGCGAGTCGGAGTCTTTCAATCAGTTTCCATTTAGCCAATTCACCTCAAGTCGAAGATCTCTGGGGGGTTGGGAATTATTTCAATGTCACCCTCATATGGGACGTTCCATATCAACCCGGCCACCCCCTTTTTTGATTTTTTTTCTATTTGCACAGTACCACATTGATTGCAAAGCCCCTTGCTTCCAATAGTTTACCTTATACCTATTTTGTCAATGTTACCACTCTTTCGCCGTATAATCGCGTTGAAAAGAAAACACAAAATCATTTTTATCCTGCGAACGGAAGAAACAATTGGCATTGTTCAAAAGCAGAAAAATCTGTCTTTCCATGGCCGATTACGAGAAAAAAAATAGATTTTATTAGACCGTAGATGACCAAGCGATAGCGTTTTTAAAGTGTAAAAGTAGGATTTCGTCCAAAGGGCCAGTCTGCAAAAATACCATTATATTTTTCTCAGAAAGCCCCATATTTAACGGATTTTATGCCGCTGGTTTCAAAGTGGGATCTATCTTGTGGAATTATCTATGAATTATTTTCATTGATTTATTAATTTTTTCCAAAGCATATACGATTATTTTAAATTACTTATTAGTTCTTTCTGACAGTTAACTACACTAAAAACGAACAAAAGAATTCATAGCTAATTACTCAAGAGAGATCCCACTTTGAAACCAGTGGCAAAAAATCCCACAAATCTGGGGCCTTTTGAGAAAAATATAATGGTATTTTTGCAGACTGGCCCTTTAGACGAAATCCTACTTTTAGACTTAAAAAACGCTATCGTTTGGTCATCTACGGTCTAATAAAATCCATTATTATTATATATGCACTTTGTTTCGAAAATATATATGAGGTGTTACAAAATCCGGTGAATAATTTATAAATGTGAAACAAAGATTGATTTCTTTGTTGTGGTTTAGAATATTTTAAAATACTGAATTTGATTTATGAGCATGGTTTTCGATTGGTGTTGAAAATTAGGTTATATAGTAATATTTTCCTAGTATGTTTAATTTAATTTTTTTTTAGGTTTTTTGGTCACATATCTTAACATTATTAATTACCCTCTAATTTATTTGTGTTAATCAAACTGAGTAATATATTTAAAACTCTTTGCATGCACCCAATAAACCAAACCGCAATTATAACTAAAAACCATTGCACCTGTTTCCTTTTCCCACTGCGTGCACCCTCAAAAAATAGTTGAAGTTAGCGAAGCGAAAGCATGTAAGTTTGTCTGTCTAATCTGGAAATCCGCACCCGCACACTTCTCATCACATTTCGTCATAAATCTATTTCTGTTTCTATAAACCTCACTAATATACTGCTTATCTCCAAATAGTATGCACAACTGGAAGGACAGTTTCGAGAGGTTAATCATCAGCTCAGCGAGTCGAATGCCAAGCGGGACAAATTCGAGGTGGAGCTGAAGGCGTCGATTGACAAGATCTTTGTGCTGCGCGAGATCATCTCGGAACTGGAGACCCAAGTCCAAACCAAGGCTCTGAATGAACAAGTTCTGGGCGAGAAGGCCAAGCAGTTGGAGGAGTATGTGAGCTTGCAGATGAGGGATAACGATGCCCTGCAGCAGGAGGTGCACAGCCTGAAAACGGACATTGGGGAGGGCTATCAATCCCGCATCCGCCTGCTGGAGGAGAAGCTGCAGCAGGGTAGACCAACCGCCGAACAAGGTACGGTTTTGGCTCAAGTGGCGGAAAAGCTGCGAGACATCGAGACGACGTTGGATCAGAAGACCAAGCTGCTGGAATCCCTGCACAACTCCAACACAGCCTCCAATTCGGGCAGCCTAAGTGTGACCGAAGATGTCTCCATTCATGGCAGTAAGGCTCCCACGGCAACGGGTTCGCCCTCGCATCCATCGCTCACCGTGGAAGGCGTTCAGCGGGTCACCGAGAAGCTGGACCGGCACACTCGCGTCGAGGAGGCGGCCATCAAACGGATTCGCGACCTGGAGATGCAGGTCCATCAAATGCGAGCCGGCTGTGTGGTAAGTAAATCATTAAAAGCTTACACAGAATGTTTTACAGAATTAAATTTAAAAAATGTAAAGACTTCCATATAATTTTTTAATGTGGTAATTATTCAGATTTATTTTCATTATTTTGTTAATCACTTAAAATCATAGGGAATAGATATCTTTAGTACAAGAAATTTAAATATTGCAAAAAACAAGAATACCAATTTCAATACACTTTCAACAATTACAATTTGTTTGGTAAAATAATTCGAAAAATATCGTGCCCAATGTAGAAAAGATTATTTGAAGATTTGAGCAGAAATACTTGGGAGAATGTGACCGGCGAAATGCCTTCCCACTGAATGGTTCCAACTACATGGATTAGAACGGCGCCCTCCAAGGTGGGCTGATAGTCCAACGAAGTTATTTTTCGATTGATCTTCCTAATACTCATACTGGTGATTCTTTCCAAAATCTTCTTTGCACCTTTTATCTGAATTCCGTCGCACGTCATCAAAGATTCGGTTTCACTATAGAATTTGGACAAATTTCCATGATTTGACTCGTTATCGTAGGCACTGTAATATTGTTCAACGAATGCCTTTCCAATTGCCTCGAACTGTGGATTCATCTTGCCCAGTTTTTTTCTAGTAAAATATATAAGAGTTAAGGAATTGAAAAACCAATAGGTAATGGGAATAAACTTACCAAAATAAGTGTCTGTAGGAGTGAAATAAGTTTGTTGTGACTAATATAGTTATTTTCTGAAGCCTTTTTACTGACCTACTTTATAAATTGATCAAATCCCGCGTAATGATTTATTAGAAAATGCTGTTTTTCTAAAAAAGTTTGAACCGGTAGGGTTTTTGCACCCGCTAAACCGCGAAGCATCTCATCCACCAACCTCTACATGAATATTCGAACTCGAAACGGTAATGCTTGTGTCTTTGCTAAATCGCTTCTTCATAATTCAACGGTTGGTCGCTGAGTATATTTAGATTCATTCTCTCTTGTTTTTCCATCAGCATCAACAATAATTTTTGTATGATAAACCCTCTTAGTTTTCTCGATCGGGAGCATCTCTTCTCAGTTGCCTTCAGAACGGCACTGTGAACGGTTGAATCGGGAGAAATGTCCGAATTTATATAAATAAATTTTGATCGCAAACTGAATATTAGCCAGATTTATACATATATATAATTTTGTTAAATTAAATCTAATAATTCGGTTGCAAATAGCGGAAGTTTTGAAGATGTTTCAGGGGCCAAAGATTCCGCTGCGAGTGAGTTTTTCGAAATGGAGCTTTTAATAACCGACCAAGGTTTCTCAGTGCGACAATTGATGTGCGGCAGCGAATGTTTATTTATTTTGATGAATTCCTCTGAAGGCAACCATAATATAAATAAAAAAATATATAATTTAATTTGTTGTGCCGCCAGTTGTCACAATGATTTTTTTCATGCACTCATTGTGGAGTCAGTTTGCGATTGTTCTGGTTGAGATATGAATGTGATTTATGGCAGAAAGTTTTGGGAATTTGGCACACGCTGTCCCATAAATATATCGCTCCCTGTTCCCTTTCCACATGCCCGGTTTGTTCCACTTCAAAAATAGATGCATATGCTGTGCCCCGCCCCACTTTTCATTCCACTTGAAAATCGATTTTAAAACAAATCATTTGGCGCCTCTGGCACCTGCCACATTTTCATCACCCACTGGTCCATCTTTTGTCACTCAGAATCCGAGTTCAAAAAACAAAAACACAAGCCCATCTTGTTTTCAATATGCATTCTCGCACTGAAGCCCAATTGAAACACTAATATGCGGTAATGCCTCCATAAATTTCTTTATGCTATGGCACGCATCCCGCTGAGTTGTTTGGAAAAAAAGGGGAGATTGAATGGTTGAAAAGGGGCTGTGGAGATTGCTGGGGAAGCTGAGGCTGCATTCATACCCGCATGAATATAAATGGATCAAACCGAGTAAACAACAGAAAAGAGATGCAAGTACAAACGCAAAGATACCGAGAACAGTGGGGGAATTTCTGAATGGCTATATGCATTTTAAAGAGCGTTTTTATCGCCATACAATCTGCATAAAATGTATTTAATGCTATTTAAAATATAATATATGAACTAAAAAATATAGTAACTTTAATAATGAATACAAAACTTAAAACCATAAATCTAATTTTTATTTTTGTTTCCGAAAATTTCCATAGAAAAAAAAACTAAGCTTATTTATTTATTGTGATTCATTAAAAAAAGCTCGATTTTGTCATTCAAATAGAAGCAAAATATTATTATGTTAGATAAGAAAATTGCGAAATGTTCTCAAATATTTTTTCACTTCGAGTGTGTTTTTAGCTTCCTCTCACAACCACAGTGCAGAAAGATATGGTACATATAATCCACTTTAATTGAAGTTGGAAAGGGTTAAATGCAGATGGAGCCAACGGTCAAATGATCGGCCATTGACTCACCCACGAACACCAGGAAAAATGAACCAACCACTTGACGAAGTAGAATCCTAAAATTATAGAAAAAATGAGATGATATTAAACTATGTGCTTACGTTACAAAAGAATAGGAATTTTAGGAACTTTAATTAAAAAATAAACTAACCACTTGAAAAAGAATCCAAAAAATATAAAAAAAATTATAGAATATTCCACTATTTGCTCAAATTGTAAAATTAGAGGAATTTTAGAACCAATCCAAAATTTATAAACCGACTTTAAATGTATAGAATAAACTAAAAATGATTTTATTTTCTAAACAGGAACTCCAACATGAACGCGACTCCCTGCAGGGTCGCATGGATGAGCAGACCCAGCGGATATCCACACTGCAAAATCGCCTGGAGGAGCAGCGCCAACGGGCGGAGCAACTGCATCGGGCTGGCACCTCCGATTTGAATACCCGGGTGCATGAACTCCAGGGTGAAGTTCAGAACTTAAGCGAACAGTTGGCGGCGCGGGACAAGCAGATGGCCACCCAGCGGCAGCAGTTGCAGAGGAGCAAGGAGGAGATAATGCGACTGGAGGCCGAAGTCACAGTTCGCACCCAACCGGATCGCAGTGTGGTGGACAAGCTGCAGGCCGAAGTGCAGCAGAAGGCTGCAGAGATCGGAAAGCTAAAGGATAAGATACGCACTGAGATGATCAATCGACTGGCCATTCCGGATTTAATGGAGACCATGCTGGCGGACAAGAACGATGAGATAGATCACCTGCGCGATCAACTGGAGGCGAAGGAGAAGGAACTGCAGGCAGCTCATCAGGATGGCAGCCTGATTTCATCGCCGGCAGGAGCGGGGGGCAAGCAGGAAGGTAGCGGTGGCAAGTTGAGTGCCCGTACGCTCAGCGATATCGGATCGATTACCGAGTTCCCCGAACCGGATGTGGAACGTCGAGCAGCCATGCGCAGCCTCAATGCTCCCCTGCAGACGAGCGATGGTGCGGGCGTCTTCCTGCACCAGACCATGGTAAGTATCTCTTCCTCTTGATAAGGATATTATACTTACACCTCATCTAAGTAGAGTAAATATAGCTATGTCCGTCTGTATGATATTTCCCACACATATTCATGGGCTTCCTACGCAGCGCAAGTTTATTTTAGCCGAGCGCCACGCCCCCTCTAACGCCCAATAATGATTTTAAAATGTGCCTGGCGCCCACACCTTTAAAGATTTTCGAGAAGTATAAATGCAATTTTGTTGTGTATATTTATACCTATCGAAATGTAGAAGACATTTTTTAAATCGGACCATTCACTAAAAAGTTATAAACAATCAAAAAATCTTATATATCCATCTCCCTCGCACTCCCTTTAGCTGATAGATAGTCGGGACTCCAACCCGACTATAGCGTTTTCTCTTGTTTTTGTATTGATTCCTTTAGAACCATTTCTTATATTTATAATTTTTTTTTGTTACAGGAAACCTCCAAAGAGGCGGTGGCCAATTTAACGCACAAGCGCACCGACGATCTAAGCGGCTTCATTGCCCCCTATCCTATCAACACCTTCGAGCATCCTCACTACTTCCAGGCCCTGGGAGTCACGGCCCAGAGCAGCGATGGCCTCACACCTGGCCTGGTTCCGCGTCACATCAACTTCTCCAACCTAACAGAGGATTCGAAACTCAAGACGCCCAGTTTGCTGATGCGTACACCGGAAATGCCACGACCACTAAGCCCACCGGAAGTCCAGCAGTTGCGACTAAAGCTTTCCAATTTGGAAACGGAAAAGCAGCGACAGCAGAGTGAATTGGAGAACAAAGTGCAGGAGCTGCAGAAGCAACTGGAGCAGGAGAAGGAGAAGCTGAGTCGTCAGGACAAGAATCTGCAAAGCCACGAAGAAAGTGAAGTAAAGTACAGGCTTCGCATTGAATCCCTCGAGTCCAAGATCCTGGAAACAGCTGCCCAGGAGGCTGCCGATCGAGAGAATCTCCGCAAGGAACTGAATTGCGTTAGTGCTGCCCATGAACAGTGCGGAGATGCGGCAGCTGCTCGTAAACGGGAGCTGGAAGTCCTCAATAGCGAAGTCAAGATTAAGGCTGATCAGCTACAAGCTGCTCTACGACGTTGCGCGGATCTGGAGCTGCAGGTTCTCACCCTGGAGCGGGAATTGGAGCGCCTGAAGAACAGCGAAAACAGTTCGAAGCAGTATTCGGTGGACGAAATAGCCCAGCAGGTGGAAAAGGAACTAAACTACTCCGCCCAGCTGGATTCCAACATCCTGAAAGCCATCGAAAGCGAGGAGGAGAACAATCTGGACAAGAAGCAGCAGAAGGGTGTGCAAACGGAGGAGGAGGCTTCGCCAGGAACTGGCAATGGAACCGACGATGAGAACTTCACTGGCGAACGGGAGCTGCTCAATCAATTGGAAGCGCTACGTGCGCAGTTAGCCGTGGAACGGGAACAATGCGAGGCAATGAGCAAGGAGCTTCTGGGCGAGAAGCAGCACTCGCAGGACATTCAAGAGCAGGATGTCGTGATTATAGAAGCCATGAGAAAGCGACTGGAGACGGCTCTCGATGCGGAGGATGAGCTGCACAAGCAGTTGGATCAGGAACGGGAACGCTGCGAGCGTCTGCAAACGCAGTTGACTTCCCTGCAGCGAGCGGAAAGTCGCCGAAATAGTTCTCTGCTGCTCAAGTCACCTGGCGACTCGCCGAGAAAATCGCCACGAGCTGATTTCGAATCCGAACTGGGAGATCGTCTGCGCAGCGAAATTAAACTTTTGGCCGCCCAGAATGAAAGGGAACGGGAGCGGTCGGCGGATGCTCAGCGTAGCAGTGAGCGGGAACGTCAACGTTATGAAAAGGAGCTGCAGGAGCGGGTGGCCTATTGCGAACGTCTCAAGCAGGAAATGGAGAAGTTGTCCCGCGACAAGGATTCCGCTGAATCGGAGTTGGAGCACTTTAACGAACGTCTCACCCTGCAGGCCAGCGAGATTGAGAGCTTGGAGGCTAGACTAGTCACTCTCCAGGAGGCCGAGACTCGCCGAGCCAACACACGCACCCGCCAGCACCAGGAGAATGTGAAATTGCAGGCCGAGATCCATGAACTCAAGTCCAAGCTGTTAACCGCAGAGGCTGCTAGAGATTGCCTGGATCAAAAGGTCACGCAACTCCGTTTCGATGTGAGTCGTTCTGGTCAGCGGGAGGCCAAACTGGCTGAAGCCTTGGCTCAGGCCAACGATCGACTGGCCCACAGCACCGATGACAATGTGCCGGCACAGTTTCTGCAGAAGATGAAGGAGATCAACACGCTGCTGGCGGAGAATACCCAGGAGAACCGGCAGATGGCCGAGACCGTTCAGTTTTTGGTGGCCGAACGCATTGCCCTGCAAAAGAAGTGCGAGGAACTCGGAGGCTCTGGTAACACCAATGTCACCGAGCTGGAGGAACGCTGCCGGCAGCTAATCGGTCGCTATTTGCGTGTGGAGTCGCATCGCAAGGCGCTGGTCTACCAGAAGAGATATCTGAAGCTAACCCTGGAGGGCTACCAGGCCAGCGAGCAGTTGGCCCTGCAGAATCTGCGAGGCGGAGCTGCACAGCCCCCTCAGAGAAATATCAAAAAGAAGTTCAAGTAAGTTGTGTGATTTATTGGATTTTTATTGAATTATTTTAATTTACACAAAATTTCTCCCTTTTTTTAAGGACTGTGGCCCTGGCTATCATTGCCATCCAGCGAATAAAATACATTGGACGCATTTGGCATACGGGCAAGCGGATTGTCAGCAAATCGGTCTTCACAATAACCCAGCAGAGGTGAGATTACTTCACCTAGTTTTATCCCAAGCAATTTGCTGTACATAGAGCCTTGTCATAATCCTCATTCTCTCGTCCCTTTAAGCTCTAAGATGCCCATAGTGACTGTCAATATGAAAGTTAAGCTAAGACAGGGCGATTCTGCCAAGAAATAGAGGCCACAAGGTCTGAGTTACTAAATGAAAGCACTTGATTTTGGATCACCTGACTAAAAGAATATAAATTTTAGTATAGAATAGAAGTAGTTTAATTAGATTATCTCAAATACAAACGGGAAAACGGTTCACGCTATTAATTTGTATATTTTCTGTAACTGCAATTCTATGTTTTTAGATTTTACATAATCAAAGCAAGTTGCACTTATTCTCTAGTTATTTGCAACCTTTATAAATTTTACCAATTTAAAAATTGCGCGGATCAGGATCACTAATAATAATTATTTATTAATTTAATAATTTAATCAGGAATTTCTAAACTCACCTTAAACTGGGAAACAATCACCTATTCACTTTATGATAACTTTTGTACGAACGAATCCTAATCTGAGCTATCTTTTCAGAAGCCCGGGACTTAACCTGAATGTGGCGCCGCCACAGTCGCCACTGCCTGGGCCCAACTCGAATCCACCCACCAATAACAACAACCTCACGGGCCGTCTTAGCTATGCGCCCCTCTCACCGCCGATGGTCAACTTCAGCACCGTGCAGCCAATAATGCTGCCATCGGATTTTACCCTCCAAGCGCCAACATCTTCGTTGCAGAGCACCATCGCCAATAACAATGGTGAGAACAGCTTGCCCTCGCTGGCGAGACTGGACTGGCCGACAATGCAGAAACCGAAAAGAGCGCATGCGCGGCATCATTAAACCGGAGGAAAGCTCAAGACCCTAACTTTAAGTGAAGCCATATCGAAGACACACTGCAGCAAGCAAGCATCAAGGATGCCAGGAAAAAAGCGATCCATTTTAGTGTTAATTACCTGTACCATTTTCCCCCCCAAAACTAAGTCTTAAGCTGTTGTAACCTAATTTAAGCGTACGCGCAACCACACCAAACTTAGGCATGTATTCGTCTGTAAGTGTTATTTGTATTTACCGCCCAAGTGTAGCCATAAGCATAAACCTAATCCGTGTCCCAGTATTTTGATTGGTTCGACTGACTATTGGCTGAAAAGACCCCGAAGTCGTTTATATTTATATTTAGTTTTATTTTATTTGGGTTTTGACTGTATAAGTTTTTTGATAAGTTGATTAAACCTAAAATTGATTTCATATTGAAAACGTTTTTATTTCTTATTTGTCTTGAACTTGGTTGACAGTTTTCTGTACATATATGGAATGTGCCTTATGGGTGAGAATTCACTGGACAATTTAGAATTCAATTCAATCACATCATTCAAATAAAAGTTAACATGTTAATTAGGTAAACAGGCTTTGCGTATACTTGCTATGACGAGATTAAAAGGGAAAGTAAGTATGCAAACTATAGGATTAAGGTTGAATTAAATTTGAGTATGTAAATTAAAATTAATAAATAAGGAAGATATCATAAACGTAGCCTACGTAACCGAAAAAAGTAAGTATTAAATGTACTCCAATTTATTGAAGCAAAGGGAAAATAATAAGAAGTAAAAAGGAAGCAGATAATTTTCTAAATAAAGAATCCTTTATAGATTCAACAGCCGAAATGTAATTTAAGATACCGAGTCATAAAAAAATCACAATAATAATGTGCCCAAAATACGAAGAAAGTAAATAAGCACTTCCAGCAAAGGGAGATAAACAAAAGTGCTCCTCAACAATATGCCAAGGGGCAAAATGGATGCAGCTGTTCCAATTTCCCAATGCCGGTTAAGCTCAACAGGTTGAGGGGTTGATCGGGGCAAATGTCAAGTGCTGCAAGGACACCTAAGCCGGACATAAAGTAAAGTACCTCGCCTCAAGGCGGCTCTCCGGCAAATGAACGCAAAAGCTGCAATGTTTTTGCACGTCCAGCAGGGATTCGCAACGAAACAGCCCTCCCTTAACCCTCTTTAGGCCAAGGCGAGTGTAAGCTGCGAAATTGAAAATGCCCTTTCGCTATATTAAAAAGAAAATTGTGTTACTTTGGCTATTACAACTATTTGGTAATTATTATTTTATTATTCCTTTATAGTTATTTATTTTTATATGGTTTGGTTATAAATGTATAATCTAAATTATTAGCAAATAATTTTATTTAGAAAATATTTTTAAATCGAATATTTTTATTTTTGTATAAGCTTTCCTTGAAAGATATATGAGCCTTTTTTTTTTTTTGTTAAATTATGCAATTGATACACTTAAAAAAAATAAACAATAATAAAAAAACATTTTTTGGATAAGACTTCAGAACGTTAGGAAATCCAATATTAAACATTTGCGTCCTTTATATGAAAAACCCATATATCTAGTCTTATAGAAAGTTCTCCAACGAGCTAAAATAGTCAAAGGATCCCTTACCATACCCTTGATAATTACTGGCCAGCTCGTTATCAGCCGCAGCAGCACGCCGCCCACTGATAAGGAGTCGCGGAGCTTTCCGTTCGGCCGGAGCCGAAGTTCGGGCCGAAGGCTTACGGCCGGAAAAGCAGAGCTTTCCTGCAGCCACCGTTGAATCGGCGGTGGACAGGCAGAAATCGCTAACATATGGTAGCGTTGAATGGCGCATCGTCTAGCATTGGCTATCCTGTCGTTGTGGCAAGCGGTCCTTCCAACATCCTGCCACTCTTATCCTGTCACTTTGGTCACGGCGGTTGCGAGCGGTTTTTGATACGGATTCGGGTCCGTGTTCTGTTTTTGGTTTCTTTTCGACGGTGTGTGTGCCAGGACAAAAGGAGGCTCAGTCGCCTGCCATTTGAATAGATTGCTTTCGCATAAATATCAAAAATATTTGGAAAATAAACTCAGTGAATATAATTATTGCGGCTTTGGTGTTGAATTTTTTCTTTGATTTGCATATGCCAAGAGTGCTTTTCAAGGCTTCTTTTGAATATTAATGATCTGTGCCCAAGGAGATGATTAATAATCCCGATTTGGGGTAAAGCAAACAATAAAAAAATCATTTTGAAAACAATTAATTCTTGTGAAAAAAGGGCTGCACAAGAAAAAGGTAAGGAACGATTAATTTACTTAGCTCTAAGGCTGGATACATGAATTAATCTTAAAAAACACTGGATAAATATATTTTAGATATTTAAAAATGTAGAGGAATTTGATTATAAATAGATTTTTTCTAACTGTTGATATTCTTCAAAGTATTTTATATAAAACTCGAATCATTCGCGAATACTTCATATCTTTCCTCCTGTCTATTTAACACAGTCTCGAATTCCAGATAAATACAATTTTCATGTTCAAAGCAATTAATGTTCTTTAATTCATATCTCAATATTATTTTGCCCATTGAAAGTGTTTCAAGTTTAAGATGCGTCTGTCACTTTAAGCCATCGACAAACAACTCAAAAGAAGTAAAAATAGAAGGACGGGGACGACGATGAAGAAATCCAATTTGTAGCAATCCAAGTAATCGCATCAGCCAAAGCCTTGAAATTCGCAGTTAAAGGCACTTCGAGCCCCTAATCCCAGCCATTTAAACACTAAAGCAGCCAAAGCCAGAATTTTTTTATGGCACGCAAAAGGCCTTTTGCCTGTTGAATATTTACCATTCAAGTTGATATTTCTCGTTCTTTTTTTGTCAATGGTCTGGGATTTGGCTTATTAAATCTGTGATTGTTCGCCTGGTGCGTCGAAAGTTGGCCAGGTCAAAGGCCAAAGTAGTTTGGTAGCTCTTTGATTAGGGTCCTCTGATATTATTTTCAATATTTTTTTTTGCATTTCCTGAGAGTGAAAGTTGGCTTTTCGTTTCGCTTCCCTATCGTATCTCGCTGTATCTGTTATTTGGTGATAAGATAGTTATTCCTTATCTGCGGACAATATACGGGTATTCAATGTACAATTCTGCTCCATATTCGTTACGCCTCTGCAGCATTTTTTTCCTGGCCAGTTAGTAGGCGTTACATAGGATTGTAGACCTAATTGTTGTTATGCTTTTTGCCTTTTTTTTGTCTATCTAATGACGTCAAACATTGGATGAGTTTCTGGGTGTGTGAATGAGTTCTGTATATGGCCAACAGGTTGGGAATATCTGCAAATTGGTTAAAGTTGCTGTGGCAATTTTCGAATTTATAAGTTGTTAATTATCGTGTTCAACTCTGGTGGCCAAAACTTGACCAAGGCAACAAACTTTTGCCGAAGCCTGTGCCAGGATGGGCTGATGGGGTGGCATGCTTGGATGGCTTCACTGTCACCAGGCGGAGAAAGGACATAAAAGCGAGAAGGAGCTGTGAAAGAAGGAGGTTGGAGCGCAGCGAAGACAGCCAGTCGATGGCGAGACAGCTTGTCACTGACATGTCCAGGGCTTAAATTTCATCCTTCATGCTTCCCGCCCGCCAGCACACAAGTTCGTTATTGTTATTTCCCACTCCCCCGAAACCGGTGCACTTGCTTTAAGTTTTTTAATTATGCTGCCTGGTTAAGTGCCGGGCTTAATCCGTTTTAAAGACGGGCATGCATGGCGTGTGCGCGATGGGGAACATTTCTAATTTATTCGCCGTCTGGCAGAGAGAAGGTTAGAATACGCAGAAATATTATGACATGTTATAAAAATGGGTTTCATATATCTATGCTTAATATTTGTTGACATGCGGGTCAACATTGCGTATGCTTTATATGAAAATATGTTATTTATTTCCTGCAAATCATTTTACTGTTTCAATTTTTGATTCATCGCAAATGTATTATTTTGATCGAAATGTATTTTAAATGTATTACAATTATGCCTAGAATTTTTGGGTGTACCTGTCTATCTGTAGGTGTATTTTATTTAGTTTCTGACGACTGACGGTAATTTCCCGGAGTTTCCCGTTTCTTACTAAATAGACATTTAGTAAGGTGAGCATAGGAAAATGGTCCAGAGGGTCTCTTTATCAAAAACTCTTATTTTTGTAACAGTTACAACGTTTGGTTTAGTGTTGCCTTTCATTAAGATAACCTATTCCATTTTTTTTTTGATTTTCTGGAAAAAAATAATTAATCGTTTTCTTAAAATTTTAAAATACCTAATCATATTTGAATAATTTAAAGACTATTTCTTAAATGAAATAATTACATTAAAGGACTCCCAAATGTATTAAATTCGATAAAGCAATTATTATTCTGCAAATTATTCCACAACTTCTTAACTGTCACCTACATTTGCGTAAACAAAGTGGTGGCTTGTAACTTTTTGTATAGCACACTTTCTGCAGCCAAATTAAAATGAGTGCTGAAATTAAATGAATATTTTCAAGCTTCTATAAAATGAGTAAAGAGGACTTTCAAATAAAATTAATTTTTCTGATTATTATCTTATCAAATTATTAAGATATTTAAATTCGCAGACATTTCAAAGATTGTAAAATAAAAAAATATATTTAACAAAAAATGGGAACACAAAAATAAATATATTCCATAGGACTTTAGCTCAAAAAAAAGTTTAGTTAAATAATCTCAAGAAATATTTTCAAGTAAATTATTTGGACCTTCCTTTTCGCTCTTGTTGAAAGTAAAACCCGGAATGGAAATTCAAATTAAAGACTTTTTAATTGCCGAATTGTGGAAGACAATAGAACAGATGGGGACGGCAAACACACAAAGATGTTGGCAAACCGCTAATGACAACTATTCAACAAAATCTGTTTTCTTTTCCCCGACCGCCGAGAACCCAACTATGCAAACATAAAACTACGCAAAACGTGGTTAAATAATTTGCACGGATTCTCAGAAACGAAATTTAGTTGAATCAATATTTGGACTGATTAAAATGGAAAGTAAATTGTACCCCGAAAAAAGAGGAGCTCTATAAAACGCGGAGCAATGGACACTGAATGTCAGTTGAAAGCGGTTGTTCGATTAGAAAAATGCGTCTGTTTGTGGCTCTGGTTTGTGTCAGTTTGCTGGCAGTTTCATCCGCCCAGTTGTCCCTTCGCGGACGATTGGGTCGCTCCGCCAATCTGAACTTGGCCGTGGAGCAGCCTTCTCTGCTGGCAAAGACTGCCGGAATCGTTCCTTCCGTGCTGGTGAAGAATGCCGGAGTTGTTCCCTCCGTGCTGGTAAAGAATGCCGGAGTTGTTCCCTCCGTGCTGGTGAAGAATGCCGCCGGAATTCTGCCATCTGTCGATGTTGCTGCCGATGTTCAAACTCCGAGCATCCTGCCTCAAGTTGCCTCGGCCAACATCTTGCCCTATTACCCCGGCTACTGGCCTGACTATGGATCTTACGGATCTTATGGATCTTCTGGATCTGGCGGCTGGTATCCCGGTGGTTGGAATGCTCCCAACTATTGGAACAACAACTACTACGACTATGGAACTCCTTACTTGGCCCGTCGTCGCTTTGTTAAGCCCGTCGTGACCCCCGCCGTGATCCCCGCCGTTATCCCTGCAGAATCGTCCTCGTCCTCCACCACCACAACCACCACTACCACCTCTGGTGATAACTCCAGTGATGATTCCACCACTGTCGAGGCAGCCGTTGTTCCCGAACAGGCCGCTGAGCCCGTGTTCACCACCCAGGTGATCTAAGGATTAAAAATTAATAAAAAAAGTTATGTACATATTGAGCAAAAACTGGAATTTATTTTTAGTTTTGGGAGGGTTTTTTAGTAAAAAAAACTATTAACTATAATCACTTTTTGATCTTCAAGGATCTAAAAAGTATGTGGAATATTTTGAATCGACATGATTATGTGTTTTTGAAAAGATATTTTAAAAATTTTTTTCTCATATTATAAGTTTAATTAGTTCAGGTGCCAATTCCCAATATTATATTTATATAATTTGAATAATGGAAATAATTCAAGAACTTTGTAAGCATTTCATCGCATTTAAAACTTAACTTTACATTAGGAAATATAATTTCCACTTTTCATAGTAAACACTACTATTTAAAAAGTAATTTATGATAGATTTTATAAATTTCGTAAACCCCCTGTATTACAGGACTTTTGCCATAACTAAATGTTAATTTAGGGCCACTTCAGACCCCGAAACCATAACGAGTACCCAGCTATCTTATCACGGTTTGCACTATATACCCTTCGTGTGGCATTGGGTATTGAGTAGAGTGCAAACACAGAGCTCAGTGGGGCATTAAAGGTGCGAAATCCACTGGCATGTGGACAACCAGTTCTGACCAGTCCCAAACCCAGACATAACCAGCCGGCAAACAGCCTTCCATATGGCGCAATATTGAAATATCCAATCAAAATGTTAATTCGAGGATAGAAGAAGAGAGAGGAGAGATGAAAATCAAAGGACCATTTTTTCCCGTTCATGGCCAGGCATTGTTTCAATGGATCCCGGATCCAAGGATCGACTCACTTCAGGTGCAATTTTCAATCGAAATTTGATGGGTTTTTATGTAAATTTACGATACGATTTGGGCGCGAGATGGATTGCAAAAAAACCCTTTTTCACACTTGTTGATTCATTAAACGGGCGGGACGAAAGTGATGGGAACGAACATAAAATGAAGGGGTTTATTGTTATTTTTGCTCTCAGCTTGTTTGTATACAAAAATTCCTTTTGTTTTTGTCTATGTAACCGGAGCATATTGAGGGACTTTCTATGCTCGCTGTAATAGTGGGAGTTGGGATGGCAGTGACGTGCTTTTGTGCTCCATGTTTATTTTTAGGGTTTTGGCCGGGACTTAGGGTCTGGCGCCAACGGACCACTCCCACTCCGGCCCCCCTCTGAAAACCCCGCCCCTAAAATCCCCGCCTCTATTTCCTCTCGGCGCGCTTTTATACCAAAGAGCTTTGGGCTATGCAAATGAATTAATGCCCATGAAAGTTCACGTCGAATGGAGTAAGTACATTCTTGTGCAGTTTCGCTTAATTGCATTAATTAGACATGTAAATGTCAAAAGTTGAACTGCAAATGCTCTTTTAAATATTGTTTGAAGTAGTTATTAAAGCTAAATAAATGTTAAATATCTTTAGAAGATGCCTTTACCAATCCGTACTTGACACTACTGAACGTGGTTAAGTGCTATTTCTTTATTCGAATCACAATGTCGGGCCTAATAAGCTGAAAGTAATGAATAAACATCAGATATGAAAGCTATCCCCTGATAATCCCCTGCACATGACAGCATATGTGAACACTGGGCGAAATGGTTTATTGCTCATTTTCCGCATCCTCCTATCAAATTCATCGCCTTTCCTTTTTCTCCTGACATTCAACCAACTTGATGAGAGCTCAGCCATCACCATCATTGACTTGACAATTGGAAACACTTACTACATGTTGTTTGCTGCCAACAGGCAATAAGCCCAAGTTGTCCGGTGGCATCGAGGAAATGTGGCCTATAAGCAAACAGAAATTAGCGTCCAACGTCGAAGGAAATGATTGTCAGGAGATGAGCGCACTTATGGGATGTCTGTTTCAGAGAAGAAAAGCTAAGTAAGAGTTATGGGAGGATTTAACCCTAAGGAATTTGTTATCTGGTGGTATTCTTTCTACGATATAATATTTCAGGTCTTTATTTCACAAAATTTGTTGTTTATTTCGTTTTTAAATTTTTTAAAAATTTATTTTACTTTTTTTTTTTTTCAAACCAATATGCGTATTTTTTATTATTTATTATTGTCTATATTATTGTATTATTTTGTTAGGCTTTAAAAACGGGTTTTGATATTTATTAATTTTCTTTTTTTTCTTATTATTCTAATCAACTTGTTTTTCGACCCCACTTTATCTCCATTCGACTTGTCCTCCGTTTTCATCCTGTCATAAACCGCGAACCCGCAAAATCAACAAATAATAATTTAAAGCCAACGCATGCCATATTTTCCGACACCGGAGGGGGTTCGACCCCCATGGGACTAGACAAAGTTTCGTAATTTTTTGTATGCAAATTACCGTGCACGGGGGTCCAGGCGGTGGCAAATTGACCAAAACATGTCAACTGTGTCAACAAGAATTATAGCAATTGCGCTGCATGAACGTCGATTGCAATAATTTGACCTGGCAAAGGTCACAATACAAAATTCTTGGAACGGCGCAGAAAAAAAGCGAGTTCATTTTAGTTAATTTATTAATGATTAATATGAAAAATAGTATCATTAAATACCCAGAAAATTATTTAATGTTTTGAGTAATACCTTATTATTAATAAGCTATGGAATGTTCGTTGAATTCACATTAATAACCTTTTCTAGTTCCATTTTATTAGACAGATAATAAAATTTATATGTTCGCTCAATTTTTCAAAATTTTTTTGCCATTAAAGAATTAAATTCCCAACAAAATAATTTGAAATAATCAGTGTTCGGTCGTTCAATTCTGGATAATTGGCTAAAATTGTGGGACCACCAAGTGAATTACTTTAATTGGCAACAGCCGGGACAAGGTCGTCGACAATCGAACGGGGTCAGTGGATATGGGAACGGGAACATTAACTGGGGCCAAGGAATCGATTGCAATCACAGCCATAAAGCGAATTACTTTGAACCCGAACCGTACGGGTTGCAAGAATTCCATTGGTTTAGGAAGGAGGTAAATGGGGTTGTGGGTGGGATAAAGCGGTTGCCATGGGGTCAAGTGTAATGGACATGAACATGTGATGCACGGACTGTTGACCAAGCCATATAGAAATGAAGCAATTGTCTCCTAGGCTGGGTCACTGAGTCAGCAAAGGAAATGGGCGCTTCCCGTGGCTTATATTCCTTTGTCCCCGATTCATATTGTGGTTTAAGCCTTGCTGGCGATCACTAAAAGGTTGCTTTTTCAATTAAATATCCGCCCAGCAAAATCCATGCAATTTTATTGAATTCCTTTTGTTTTGTTTTTTATAATCGGATTCAATCATGGTAGAGACGTGACCTTTGAAATGAGAATTAGCATTACAATAAAAAATATGCATTGAGGTTTTACTAAAAGGGTCTTATCCAATTAAATAATTTCGATTTTCAGATTATACTTAAAAGGAATCCAGTGAATTCCACATTTATTCTTAGCTTAAACTGTTATTATTAAATAATATAGTTATTGTTTTTATTTATGTACAATTACAAATAATAAGATAATATCATAAATATATAGTAAATACAATTACCTTTTTTTTGCCAAATTTTATCAATGTTTTTGCTTTTGTAAAGTAAAGGCTTACATATTATATTACATATAAAATTATAATTCAAAAATGTATTCATATATAAAACTGGTTATTATTTTTTTCAAAATATTTATTAAATTGTTTTTAATCAAAATATTCTTTGCTTATAAAAAGCAAAGACTTTCAAGCTAATTTCGGTTTGGGCCCTGATTATGCATTTCGACTTTAAAATTGTGCCCTTAATCCCATTTAGGCCAATGGAAATTCTTTAATTAAGCAAACCCGATGCCACATAATTGAAAAGGAATGCCAATTATGGCAGGTTTGGCTTAAATTCCTAAGCTACCTCAGGGGAGCGAATTCTTTGTGAGACTATTTTTAGCGCGCTGAAATGTATGCTACAATTTCCTTCAGTGGCACGAGGCCGAGTCGAACTTGAATCAAATTATGATTAAGTCCTTACGGACGCCTGTCATGGGAATGCGTGCGTGAATGCCCCATCGAAATGGGGGCCTGCGAATGTGTCAGTGTGAGTGAGTATCTATGTGCGTGACATTGATTGGCATTGAGCTTGGGTGATGGGCGGTGGGCTATGGTTTGCTGGCATAGGCAAATGCGGCAAAAAGGGCGAAACATGGCCGAAACACTCTCGACCATCAACGGCAATCGAGTTAAGCGCATGTGGATGCCGTTTAAGCCAACGACAAACGCCAACGTCCAACCGCCGACCAACTAATCCCATTGTCGGCATTAAAAATTACAAACACGCGCCGCATTATAATGCAATTCGCTTTTGTTCGACAAGCACCTGACTGCCTTGGCCAACCTGCCATCGAGGATGTCGACTCCTTCGTTGGCAACATTTCTTTCCTTTTAGCCACCTCCGACAACTGTTTACAATGGCGCACAAGTCGTCAATGGCTGTCCTTGTCCTTGGGCACCCTCGAATGGAATCTGGGGGACGGCAGTGAACAGGAACTGTTTTCACTTTTCCCTAGATTTTCCACAGATTGTGCATTCAAATAAACATCATTACCTTTTGCTAGTGGCCGCACGCAAATAAGCAACTTAGGTTGAAGTTTCAAGTTTGCTTTCACCAGATTTAAATTTAAGGAAGAGGAAGGTCTATTTAAATTCAGGAAAAATAGTACAAAAATAGTTCGTTTTTTAGTTTAGGCCTGACATCTAAAAATATGCTGCAAATAAGTACAATTCGTGCTTTTTTTGTATAAACTTTTTTTTATTTATGAATGATCCCAAAATTATGAAATGAAATGTATGTTACATGTTGCTGTTGCTTATAAAATGTTTTCGAATTTTGCTATTTTTTTAAGAACATTATTTTGAGTCACTTATTTGGCTTCCTCAGCTTCGAGCTCCTTTTCGAAGACATCCAAAGCCTGGTCAGCAGCATCCTCCTCGGGATCCGTCTGCTCATCCTCTTCATCCTCAGCCTCCTGGGTCTGAGGTTCACCTTCCTCCTCACCATATTCCTCGGCATCGAGCTGCTCCTCCTCTTCCTCATCGTGCTTATCCGCTAGGAGATCAGCTTCGGCCTCCTGGCTGTATTGATCCTCGCCAGATTCCTGGTCACTCAGATCGTGGGAGATCTCGTGGGAGACCTCTTGGGAAATCTCCTGCGACTCCTCTAGGCTGGTCTGAGGTCCCTCGACGATCTGTCCATTGACTGTGGGAACCATGCGATAGTATCCATTGTAGTAGCTGGGATATCCGTAGTAATTCCATCCTTGGTTGTTGTTCCATTGGTTCGGTTGCGGACGAGGACGAATGGTTCCCTCGTTGGCATTGGCATGGGCATTGGATACACCCGAAATAATCACCGTGTTGTTGCCGAATTTAACCGTAGAGTTCGTTTCACCAGCCTCTGCCAGGAGACCCTGCAGCCAAGCCAAGTTCAGCTGGGGAGCTGCACTGCTGTAGGCCAGGATTGCGGCAAAGATTACAACGGCAAAGGCAATGGAGCGCATGATTCCCAAAACTAGACTGACTGAGTGCAACTGAGACTATGATTTCCAACTATCTTGGCTTTGTTTTTATATCTTTGTTAACTGGCACAAATCGATCGATTCTTGAGTGACATGATTACACTATGCTAACACTTATCAAGGTCCACGGTCTGCTATATTTTTCAAGTTTTCTGATGGAAGTACATGTTTTCTTTGGTTTACCCCAAAAATTAGACTGAACACATGTGTAAATATTAAGATAATTCGAGGAATCGGAACAAAGCACTCTATCAACATGTTATGTTATGTTGTGAATCAAAATTCAAGCAAATGGTAGGAAATATAACACTAATTCCAAGGGTTTTTTATTTTCATTTTTTTTTTTTTTTTTTTTTTTTTTTGGTTATTAATTGGTTTATTGTTATTGGTTTTTATGGTTATTAATTAACCATTTTAAAGGGGTAATAATTAAAACAAACTTTAAGTATGAATTTTTACTTAAATCAAAATGCCAAAAAAAGAAAGATTTTTTTGTATTTAGTATTTAAATTAATTTAAACATTTTTTTAAAATTTTTTTCATATTTAAAACTCTTACATTCAGAAATAAATATCTAGCAACTTAAAGATTTATTGAGTTATTGATTAACAACTCGAGTATTCTGGGCTCCACTGTACTCTTTTAAGGTCTCTAAGTTCCGTCAGCCAAATGTTTACGCACGACTTCGCCTCATTTTTTTAGCCACAAACCAAGGCAACAGCTGTCGCCGGGTAAACATAAAATGAGCCATATAAATTGTCACCCATGCCAGCTTTTATTTTTCTGCCAATCAGCGATTTGCTATAAAAGCGTATTTTAGAGCTCAACTTTAACTTAGTTAAAAACTAAATTAGGCAATACAATGCGTGCCTGTTTGCTGCTTGCCCTCTTTGGATGTGTGCTCTTGGCCACGGTTTCCGCCAATCCCCTCGATATCGATGAGATTGAAGACGTCGAGGAGACGAATCGAATTGCGGAAGAGAAAAAGAACTTGGCAGAAGAGAAGGATAACGTTTTGGACGATGAGGAAGATGACAATACAGATGACGAGGAGGACGACGAGGATACACAGGACTCTGAGCTAGATGACTCCGACTCCCAGGATGATTCCGAGGACGATGATGAAGAAAAAAGCGATGAAGCCAAGCCAAAAGAACAAGATGAAGAGTAACTCCAATGGGAAATGACAGATTCCATTCATTTATTGTTTTAATTAACACGTTTTACCGCTTGTTAGACTTTCAAACAACTGTTCACACAAAGCAACCAACTCCATCTCCGACAGCCTAATAAGCAAATGTTTTTATATTATCTGAGCAAATACATAAAATTCTGGAAATGCCCGTGATCATAATTGGAGTTCTTTATTTGCATTTACTTGTATACATTTTTCAGGGGATTTAATTAAAAACATAATTTGTTCTGCCCATTGTAGAATAAATTCAAAAAATTATTCAATTAAAGGTATTACATTAAATATTATAAAAATGGTTTAATGTTTAAGGAATGTTACTATATTATTATTATCATCGAATAATTACTAATGCTTGGTGCAATCATTTATTTTCCAATTTTCTTAGAGTATGTTTAGAACATTTGCTATCAAATATTTGCTTTTAATAATAAACGTAAATATTTGTTTAGTAATTAAAGTGCAGTTATTGCGCAGTTGGAAAGTGACATTGTGAAAGCAAACAAGATTTGCATATAAAAGCTAGTGCCTTAAGAAAAACAGTTTACAGATGATATTATAACTTAACTACGTAGAGATGCATTATTTCGTGGTCCTTTTACTGATTGCACTTTTTGCCATGGCTTTCGTCAGTGCATACCCATTAAGAAATGAGGATGGAGATGTGATCATCATTATCAAATCACTCCGAAACTTCAACAACGAGGACGCAACTACTGCTGCTGGTTAAAGAAGTGTATATCCCAGTTTGACTAAATATGTGCGTCGTGAAATGAATTAATTTAAATTACACTGATGATTTAAATAATAAACAGAGCAATTGTAAAAAAAAATATTGACTTGGATGTTGACTCGGATTTTTTGGTATTCTTTGGTTATGCTATGACTTATACATTCGTCATTTATTATGTAAAAGTGGCATGATATTTTAAGTGTTGCTTTTTGAGCCAGCACTTAACATATAAATACAAAATTTAATTTAATTTGCATTTACTTTTTTTGTAACTGAGCTACTGAACTATCTTGCAATCTAATTGCAACGCATTTGTGTTGACTTTTAGTTTGATTAAAAGAGATATTTTGGCACACCGCTAAATGAAAATGAATGGCGATTTAGACGAAATTTCTTGTTATTATTGAAATATGATATTGGAGTGGCGAAGCCAGGATTTGGTTAAAGGGATGGTTTTAGATATCACCTGAAACCATCCCTCCCACCTGACTACGCCCCTGTTTGGGAATAGTAATTTAATAGTTGTTGTTGTTGTAGTCGTTGCAGGGTAGTCCGGAATCTGTAAGGTTCAGAGGGTTGACGATGACAATAACTTGTCCTTGAGGAAACGCAATCGTCTTCTCTGCCATAAAGGCCATGGCCAAAATAGCTGCCACAAAAAGTACTATTAAGTAGTTCATCTTTATTAAGTTTGCTTCTCTGTCCCTTGAAAGTTTCTCAAAGACGATAGGCCTTTTATAAGAAAATTATATTTGCTTAAAAATTTTCCATGCCCAAGCTGTTTAATTAGTGCACCTAATATTTATCAAACACCAAATGCAGATACTAAGTGGTAATTAAATAATTACACAGCGTGCAACTAAGAATGGCGAAAGAACACTATCTATATTTTAACTCAACTTGCAACTTTCTTGAATTTTTGCCTTTGCATTCCTTTTTAAGGCGATTCTTTGGTAGCAGTACGGTATACTAAAATTAAAGAAAAACTTAAAAAATTGTTATTATTTATTAAGAAACAACAAAGGATGGTTGGTACAATCATGATTCATAGAATTCTCAGAATGTTATCAATGGGCAAAATGCGTCACAGAACAATAATAAGATAAGCAATTGTTCAAATATAAAATTCGTATATGACGATTCAAATAATAACAAGCGTTTCTGCCAAAAAATGTAACAGAGTTTCGGTATAAAAGCCGAATGATCGGGTGAAATTTATAAACAGTCTGGAACTTCTTCGAGCCTAACACCAAAAATGCGTATCTTAATTGTCGTTGCTCTTTTGGCCTTCATGGCTGTTGGCTTTGTGAATGCCCGTCCATCTGAGGATGAGGAGTCCACTGTCCAGGAAAATGCTATTGAGGATTCGTCCAACAACGATGTTGGAGAAAACACAAATGCTGGTGAAGAAGGATCTGCTGATGAAGAAACCCAGGATTCCGCCGACGGAGAAAACCAGGCCAATGCTGCTGAAGAAGAATCTGCTGATGAACAAAGTCAGGATTCTAATAATGACGAAAATCAGGAAGAAAGCAATAGTCAAAACAATCAGGAGAGTTCTGGCAATGAGTCCAATCCCGAATCGAGTGGGGATGATAACAACGAGGCAGATAACAACGAAGAAGATAACAACGAAGATGGAGATAACAACGAGTCGGAGGATAACAATGAGGAAGATGCTCCACCCAAGAAGCAGACTCGTCCATTTAGGCCCAGCTTCGGTAGCAATGGACCTCTTTTCATCTATGCCAAGCCCCTTTTCCTTAATTAATTTATTATTATATTTGTTAAAGTAAAAAAATGATTATACATAAAAAAAATTTTAAATCAGAGTTTTACTTTCACTGCACAAAATGTTAAGGGTTTTAAATGCAAAAAAAACAAGAAAGGAAGCTAGCTTCGGCCAGCCGAAGCTTAAAAACCCTTGCAGATCATTCTTATTAATTAACAAATCGCAAAAATGTTCAACTAATTTCATTAATCTCATTAATTTTCCGATCGTTCCTATGGCAGCTATATGATATAGTCGTCCGATTTTGATCAAATTAAAATTGAAATTCGGAAATATTTAAAAAGAGTCATATCCTAGAGTAGTATTGTAGATAATACAATAAAAACCACAGAAGCTAGAATTTATTTCCTATTACTTTTCCATTAATTTTCCGATTGTTCCTATGGCAGCTATATGATATATTAGTCCGATTTTTTAAATATTTAATTCGAAATTCAGAAATATTTAAAAAATAAAATCCCCAAAAGTAGAAGGTAATATTTCAAAAAACACCGAAGCTAGAATTTTTTTAACGTTTTCTTTTCCGATCCTTCCTGTGGGAGCTATAAGATATAGTTGTCCGATCCGGTCGGTTCCGACATATATACTAACTGCAATAGAAAGAAGACTTTTGGGAAAGTTTCACCCCGATAGCTCAAGAACTGAGAGACTAGTGTGCGTAGAAACAGACAGACGGACAGACGGACAGACGGACATGGCTAGATCGACTCGTCTAGTGATGCTGATCAAGAATATATTTACTTTATGGGGTCGGAATCGTCTCCTTCACTGCGTTGCAAACTTCTGACTGAAATCATAATACCTTCTGCAAGGGTATAAAAACAGAAAAAACTGCTGATTAGGAGGTGCTTGTCTATAGGACTTTTTATTATACTGGCACAAGTATAAGTAATTGGAATGTAGGAATTGTGGACTTCGCCTCTCGTTAAAAATTGCTAAACAAAATATTTAATTACACAGGTACACAGTCAAAAATTTCCACGAACCATTTCAAGTTTTCCATGATAATTGGGTGCTCCTGGGTAAGAGTCCCATACAAACTTATGTCCCATCACCTACAGGATCCGCGAAATAGCTAAGAATACAAAAAACCGATGTTAGTCGACATTTCGAATTATGTGGCCTACATAATTGGACTTACCTTAATTATTTTCGCACCCAATTATCATGGAAAACTAGAAATGGTATATGGTAAGTTCACAAAGTTTAGTTTTGTGTTCCTGGGTTATTTACTCATTTAAGAAATCTTACAAAATTATTATTATAATATTTTAATTTAATATGATTTGTTTAATAGTGGGGATGACTACTTATTTTCCAATTTTCTTAGGGTATGTTTAGAACATTTCCAGCAGTCTCTCAAATATTGGCTTTTCATTATATAAATATTAGTTTGTTAAATAAAGTGCAGTCATTGCGCAGTTCCAAGAGAGACTTTTAAAACAAACAAGATGTGTATATAAAAGCTAGTGCATTATCATTATCATTTATCTATACATATAAAGATGCACTATTTGATGGTACTTGTCCTGATTGCACTTTTGGCCATGGCCTTTGTGAACGCAAGCCCAGTTCCGGATCCAAACGGAGATGTGCTCGTCATCGTCAACCAAAATCTACCAGATTGGACCACAACTACGGCCGCCTAAATCCTTATAGAAATGGTTCTAAGTGAAGTGTATATTCCTATTTCTAAATGCGTCATGATGTTAATAATTGTAAATTCACTGACGCATTTGTTCAAGTCTTAATGCGTAATTGACTATTTGAGTAACAGAAACCACTTCTATCAATAAATATTGCAGTAAAGAAATTTTAAAAATGTAAATTTTTAAAAATTGTTTTTAATTATAATAAAGAACCCCAAAGGAGGTGTGGTACAATCATGATTCATAGACACCGTAATGCAAATAAAGCTAGCAAATTGTAAGATTGTTATCGATGGACAAAATGCGTCAAAGAACAATAGTACATTAAGCAATTGTTCAAATATGAAATTCGTATTGGAATCGTCTATCCAATAATAACAAGCGTTTCTGCCAAAAATGTAACAAAGTTTCGGTATAAAAGCCCAATGATCGGGTGAAATTTATAAACAGTTTTGAATTTCTTCGAGCCTAAACACCAAAAATGCGTATCTTGATTGTCGTTGCTCTTTTGGCCTTCATGGCTGTTGGATTTGTGACTGCCCGTCCAGCAGAGGATGAGGAGTCCACTGTCCAGAAAAATGCTATTGAGGATTTGTTCAACAACGATGTTGGAGAAGACACAAATGCTGGTGGAGAAGGATCTGCCGATGAAGAAACCCAGGATTCCGCCGACGGGGAAAACCAGGCAAATGCTGCTAAACAAGAATCTGCTGATGGACAAAGTCAGAACTCTGGCAATGAGGAAAATCAGGACGAAACCAATAGTGAGGACAATCAGGAGAGCTCTGGCGATGTGGCCAATTCTGAATCGAGTGGGGATAATAACAATGAGGAAGATAACAACGAGGAAGATAACAACGAAGATGGAGATAACAACGAGTCGGAAGATAACAATGAGGAAGATGCTCCACCCAAGAAGCAGACTCGTCCATTTAGGCCCAGCTTCGGTAGCAATGGACCTCTTTTCATCTATGCCAAGCCCCTTTTCCTTCATTAATTTGTTATTATATTTGTTAAAGTAAAAAAAATTATTATACATAAAACAAATTTTAGATCAGAGTTTCACTTTTACTGCGCAAAATGTTAAGGGTTTTAAATGCAAAAAAAAGAAAGAAAAAACTGCTGATTAGGAGGGGCTTGTTTATGGGACATTTTATTTTTTTTTAATACACTTTCACAAGTATTAATTGGAATCAAGGGATCGTGGACTTCGCCTCACGCTAAAATTTTCAATACAACATATTTAATTATTTACTCATTTAAAAAATCTTACAAAATTATTATTATAATATTTTAATTATAATCATTTGTTCAATGGTGGGAATGACTACATATTTTCCAATTTCCCTAGGGTATGTTTAGAGCATTTCCTGTAGTCTCTCAAATATTGGCTTTTCATTATATAAATATTAGTTTGTTAAATAAAGTGCAGTCATTGCGAAGTTCCAAGAGAGACTTTTAAAACAAACAAGATGTGTATATAAAAGCTAGTGCATTATCATTATCATTTATCTATACATATAAAGATGCACTATTTGATGGTACTTGTCCTGATTGCACTTTTGGCCATGGCCTTTGTGAACGCAAGCCCAGTTCCGGATCCAAACGGAGATGTGCTAGTCATCGTCAACCAAAAACTACCAGATTGGACTACAACTACGCCCGCTTAAGTCCTTATAGAAATTGTTCTCAGTGAAGTGTATATTCCTATTTAAAAATGCGTCATGATGTTAATAATTGTAAATTCACTGACGCATTTGTTCAAGTCTTAATGCGTAATTGACTTTTTGAATAACAGAAACCACTTCTATCAATAAATATTGCAGCGAAGAAATTTTTAAAAATTGTTTTTAATTATAATTAAGAACCACAAAGGAGGTGTGGTACAATCATGATTCATAAACACCGTAATGCAAATAAAACTAGCAAATTCGAAGAATGTTATCGATGGACAAAATGCGTCAAAGAACAATAGTACATTAAGCAATTGTTCAAATATGAAATTCGTATTGGAATCGTCTATCCAATAATAACAAGCGTTTCTGCCAAAAATGTAACAAATTTTCTGTATAAAAGCCGAATGATTGGGTGAAATTTATAAACAGTTTGGAATTTTTTTCGAGCCTAAACACAAAAAATGCGTTTCTTGATTGTCGTTTCTCTTTTGGCTTTCATAGCCGTTGGCTTAGTGACTGCCCGTCCAGCTGAGGATGAGGAGTCCTCTGGCCAGGAAAATGCAGTTGAGGATTCGTCTAACAACGATGAAGAAAATAACACAATTGTTGCTGAAGAAGAATCTGCTGATGAAGAAACCCAGGATTCTGGCAATGGGGAAAACCAGGAATTCGGAGGAGGTCAGGACTCTGCCAATAAGGAAAGCCAAGAAGAACCCAATAAGGAGGACAATCAGGAAAGCTCTGGCGATGAGACCAATTCCGAAACGAGAGGGGATGATAACAACGAGGGAGATAACAACGAAAACAGGGATAACAACGAAGGTGGAGATAACACCGAATCGGAGGATAACAATGATGAGCAATAACCAAGAAACAAACTCGACCATTTAGGCCAAGCTTCGGAAACAATAAGCCTCTTTTTCTCTATGCCAAACCCATTGTCCTCCATTAGGACTAAGCTTTTTTGGTGTGTTCCAAAATAATAAAATGGTTATATATTAAAATATGTTTGATGTTGTTACCGAAGAAAAAAAGGCTTTCATTATGCAAAAAAAAAACAAATAAAATATAAAACAAAACAGCGGTTGGTTTTTGCTATTTAAGAAAACGCCCTAAAGTATGAAATACTTTGGAAAATCAGCTTAAGACAAGAGGCTTGTCCATTGGGTGTTCAATTTTATTTTATTTGACTTCAAAACTTTAGTCGTAGTTATAGATTACAGTCGAAGTTAAAGTCTTAATGACTATTTTAATTTAATTTTATCAATTTTAAATATTATTATACGCTACACGTTTAAAAACGTATTATTTAAAGCGCTAGTCACACAGGAAAGTCTTTTTAGTATTACTAAAATTATTTTTCGTGCTGCAGAATGCATCAAAAAACGACAGTATTTTGTAATATTTTCTCTGGAAAAAAGAGAATAAAAAGCAGACTGCTTATTATATATTTTATCAGTACCTATATATAGTACCTACACTGTTTGGTATCCGCTGAGTTACATCATCAGGTGATGGAAATGTTTGCAGATTAAACTGCACTGTTTATTTCTCAATATGGCGATTTAAAGATTGAACAGCTTGACAGTTATAGCTTTATTGAACGAATGAAATTGTTTCCGCTTTTTTTTATATAAGAAAGATAACTTTATAGGAAAACGAAGTAGTTACCGGAGAATTTTAAGACGATAAAGATGAGATTCTCAGTAGTTTTTGCTCTTGTGGCTTTTCTGGCCATTTCGGTGGTAACAGCAGTTCCATCTACAAACAGTAGTAGTAATCAAGGCAGCCCTAATAATCGAACAATCCTTCCGTTCTTCCGATTTCCTACTTGGTGGAAATAGGGCTGTAATTTTGAATACAATGACATGGTAATGACTTGATGGAACCTAATGGCAAAACTTATCACCGTGAACCCTTAACAAACCTTCTTATTGTCTAGAATAAATTCACAAAAATACTTGCTTATAAAACTTTCCACTGAGACAATTGTAGCGGTAGTCAGACACGATAATTTACTTAAAGTAAAAGTTTAAAAAAGTAAAAAATACTTTGCGTTCTGCAGAATGCATTACTAATTTGTATACAAGTTTTTTGTCAAATTTTCGCTGAAGAAAGCTAGTAATAAAGCAACGTGCTCATTATTTATTTCATCATTACCTTTATAAAACTTATAGTATCTGCTCGGTTACATCGTCAGGTGACGGAAGTGTTTGCAGATTAAACTGCACTGTTTATTTCTGAATATAGCTACTTAAAGATTGCACAGCTTGCAGTTAAAACTTTTCTGAACATATGACATTTTTTCCCGCTTTTTTATATAAGAAGATAAATTTATAGGAGATCGATGTAGTTACTGGAGAGTTTCAAGAGGATTAAGATGCGTTTCCTAGTAGTTTTTGCCCTGGTGGCCTTTCTGGCTCTTTCGGTTGTGACAGCATTTCCACCTACTAACAGTAGCAGTGATCAAGGCAACTCTAACAATCGATCAACTATTGGTCCCTTCCCCCGATTTCCTCCGTGGTGGGGAATTGGTCCTGTCATTTTTAACACCACGACATGGTAATGACTTAATGGAAACCAACTGCAAAACATATCACTGTGAACCCTGCATAAACCTTTTTTATTCTCTAAAATAAATTCACAAAAATACTTGCTTGTAAAACTTTCCACTGAGACAATTGTTCAAACACCAAAAGCGTAAATAAAGATTTCGTTTAAAATCAACGAATTGTCTAAAATTGGCGAGACTTTTCCTATAAAAAGCTGGAAGCTGTTTGAAATTGGAAAGCAGTTTTCGTAATAGCTTCTTAGACTCAAGTTCAAAATGCGTTCCCTGTTTGTCGTCGCTCTGTTGGCCTTCTTGGCTGTTGGCTTTGTGGCCGCTCGTCCCGCTGAGGATGAGGAGTCCTCCTCTTCTGCTGTGGTGGATAGCACTGCTGTGGATTCGACCAGCAATGATGCTGACACCACTAAAGCCACCGAGGAGAAGACCGAGGGATCCACTGATGATAAAGACACTACGGCTACCAAAGCTTCGGCTGTTGAAGAAACTGAAGAGTCCAGTGATAATGCCGAGACGGAGAATGATACCACCACTGAGGCAGTCAAGAAGCACATTCGCCCCTTCTGGCCCAGGTTCGGAGGTCATGGACCCGTTGTGATCAGGCGTCATCCCGGCCTTGAAACCGTCTAAGCTCTATAAGCTTTCTTGCTATAGATTTCTCTAATCTGCTTCTTATTTTTTCCTAAATAAAGAAATTTCAATTTAAAAAACTTAAACCAGTTTTTGTAAATATTTCAATACTCTCCTTGTCTAACTTCCCAAAAAAAACTCTCTCTAGAAAAAACTTTTAAAACAGTTGTTTCCAATGTCGCGGCAACCAGTATTGTTCAGAACGTTGAAGAAATGCGTGCCTTTTGTATTCTAAGTCTGATCGCTTGCTTGGCTATAGCCATGATCTCTACAAAGCCATTGGAAGAATCGAGCTCCCGGAAAGATTTGAAACCGCTTAATAAAACGGAAATAGCTAATATGATCAAGGAGTTGCAGTTATTAGAAAAATTAGCCAACGAAACATACTATTCACCAGATCCAAAAACTCAGGAGACATATTTGACCAAGGAACCAACTGGTGAAGAAACCAAAGAACCAACTGGGGAGGAAACTAAGGAACCAACTGGGGAGGAAATCAAGGAACCAACTGGGGAGGAGGTAAAGATTCCAACTGGAGAGGTAATAAAGATTCGAACGGGTGAAAATGGAGAAGAAGAGTTCTTCATTGTGGAGGAAGATGAAGACGAAGATGATGCCACCTTGGACAGACCCACTGAAGCTATACCAGTCAACTTTCTCAAATACCCCGAACATGCACCCGACTTTAAGGCCTATCCACGGTTTGCCATGCTCAGAAACGGTTATGTGCATCACATGAACTTGGACTTTTGAGTGTACGCAATTCATCACAAAATAAATGATAATGACGTGTCCCCAGTTTATTTTGCTAGATGGGGAAATTCCGACGGCAGTTAAGTTTACACAGCTGTCTCACTAGACAAAAGTCTAGAGCGTTAGAACTGGGGTATCTGAGTGCGAGTTTGTTTTTCCATAGTTATACCTTAAAACAGTGTGCTTCGAACCACGCATTTAAATAGTTTTATTTTGGAGTTCCCAAAATGCGTCTCACCTGTGGACTTTTGTCAATTTTGGTTGTAACGTTTATGCTTGCGTTAAGTACTAATGCTGAATCATCTGGAAAATCCCGAAACCGAGAAGATCGTTTTGATCTGGAGAACGAGAGCATTGAAAGTGGGGAGAATGACGAGTTAATTGCGTCATGTGAAAGTGAGGAGAGTGCGGAAAACTATAGCTGCCGGCAGAGGAAAACGGAATACCCGAAACGAAAGACTTTCCGATTTGCATTTTAAGAATTAATTTAGTTTTTTTTAATTTTCATTTGAATAAAATGGTAATTTACAAAATATATGTTAAATTGCGTGGTTTTTTCTTGGAGTTAGTTTGGTAAAACCTACCACAAATTGTAGAAAAAATCTAAATCTAGAATCTAGATGCCTTGAAGATGAGGTAAGATAATTTAAACATTTATTCTGAAGAAGAAGAAATACATAAAATAAATTTAAATATTTATTAAATAATAGAAGAAAACAAGAAAGGAAGCTAGCTTCGGCCAGCCGAAGCTTATATACCCTTGCAGATCATTCCTATTAATTAACAAATCGCAAAAATGTTCAATTTTCTAATATTTCTCATTAATTTTCCGATCGTTCCTATGGCAGCTATATGATATAGTCGTCCGATTTTGATCAAATTAAAATTGAAATTCGGAAATATTTAAAAAGAGTTATATCCTAGAGTAGAAGATAATACAATAAAAACCAAAGAAGCTAGAATTTGTTTCCTATTACTTTTCCATTAATTTTCCGATCGTTCCTATGGCAGCTATATGATATAGTAGTCCGATTTTTTAAATAATTAATTCGAAATTCAGAAATATTTAAAAAATAACATCCCCAAAAGTAGAAGGTAATATTTCAAAAAACACCGAAGCTAGAATTTTTTAAAGCTTTTTTCTTCCGATCCTTCCTATGGGAGCTATAAGATATAGTTGTCCGATCCGGTCGGCTCCGACATATATACTACCTGCAATAGAAAGAAGACTTTTGCGAAAGTTTCGTCCCGATAGCTCAAAAACTGAGAGACTAGTTTGCGTAGAAACAGACAGACGGACAGACGGACAGACGGACAGACAGACAGACGGACAGACGGACAGACGGACATGGCTAGATCGACTCGTCTTGTGATGCTGATCAAGAATATATATACTTTATGGGGTCGGAGACGTCTCCTTTACTGCGTTGCAAACTTCTGACTGAAATCATAATACCCTCTGCAAGGGTATAAATATATCATCCTTTTGGGTAACTTTAATAAATTAATAAATACCTTTCTAAAACTAAAATTTATAAATATTTTTTTCTAGTGATTTCAACTCACCGGCAACATGGTTATGGTAAGTTCCGCGGTCCTGGGGGCCGCAGCCGGTACCGGACTGGCTCTGATCCTGGCCGTGACAATCGTCATGTACCGCTACTACCTTCTGCGTAAGCGAGGAAAGGAGTGGGACGAACTGGACCGCTGGGAGGAGACCCGCATAATGCGAAAGCTGCAGATGAAGGTAGGTGGCTGACGTTAATGTGATTGCGGCCAAGGCGGAGAAGGACTCCCCGTTGAGTGGCAGACGCAGAGCTGACACTACCAGGCCTGAATGCAATGGAGCAAGAAGTTTGCTAAATCGCGTGGGAGGACATACCGATTTAAATTACATAGGTCAAATGGGTTTTAAAGCCTTTTCAGGGGGTAATTTTTCTGTAAATGGTCTACCACAACTTGCTTATCATCACTTAAAACAAAAAAAAATTATTTTAGCTTTAAGTGTTAAATACATTTTAATGAGATATTAGTGAGATTTATAAGATTTATCTTCAGGAACAGCGAAATAAACACGAAATAATGAATAGTTGAAGTAAAATACATTCTACATTTACGTAGCAGTGGCGCCACTATTTTAAGTTCACACTGCGCTTATCTCTGCAACTACAATACTCTACGTCCATATTTGACATTTGTGTAAAATACTGGTTTTTCGGAAAGTAAAATGCGGGGTTAACACAGAAATCTCTTTCGTTGGAACTCGTCTGAAGTTCCTACGTACATCAATACATATTACTACTACTGACATTCCTAATACAAAACTTATAAAGTTAAGGGTGAATTTACTTTTGTTTAATTGTTGACATAAACATTTTTTAATTTAAATTAATTGTTTTGGAGGAATTGGGTTTGAAAATGTATGGGGAATAATAATAGCCACATATAGATGGTTTAAATTATGGAAAGTATTAAAATGAAGTTAAGTATGATAAAATCAAAATAAATTCAGAAAATTGTTGTGTTTATTGAATAAATGTGGATTTTAGGGGCCATCCAAAAATAAATGTTAGCTTTAATCTATTGATTTGGGACTGTTGACTGGAGTTTTGTATTTTTTTTATTTTTTTAATAAATATGAATATTACTTTTTCACAATTTTCTTTCGATGATACAACAAACGACCTGTTATGATTGGGTTTCTAGACTTATGTTCAGATTCTCAAAGTCTCTGCTATCTATTAATCACAACCCAGACAACTGCGTTGGGCAGCCATTTTGAATCCGTGGGAAATCAAAAGGATCGCAGACAACCACAAGGATACAAATGTATCTGCTGCGAGCGGCTGCAATCTAATGAAAACCCCGGCGATGTCTCAGAGGCCGTATCAAAATCTGTTTCATTATGCATTTGATATACCCCTCGGCCAGTCGCCGGATCTCGAGGGTTGTTCCGATTCGGAATCTTACCTTGTTTCCATGGATTTGGATGGTTTTGGATGGTGACCTAACCCAACGCGTGCTGGCGGAAGGGGAGGATCAGTGAAGCGTTTTATGATTGCAAATGCTGTTTTTATTAACTAACTGGCTTTGCTCGTTGACAGCGGGGGTAAGTGGTGGACTTAAGGGTGCTAAGCGTTTCTGGTTTCGTTTTGTTTGCTATTTATTATATAATTTGATTAGACGTTAAGTGTTTAAGTGTTTTTTCGGTTTCGGTTTGTTGGGGTGGCTCTGTCACCATTCTCCACTCCACCCCGAATCTTCCCCTTTTCGGCTGACAATGCACACCCAATGCAGGCCCTTCAAACTAGCCACAACATTGACCACAATAAATAGGACCTGATTAATAGCATTGTCCAGCGGCCTTGACCACAGCTAAAAAAGAAACCTATAAACCTCCATTTAAACGGCGGGCCTGGTCCTTCTTTTTTAAGAGTGAGCAGAAAGGAATTTCGCCTTACCTGAATTTCTACCTCACAAGGATCGATCTTTCGGGGACAAAGGACGAAACTAAACTGCAGATCACTGCAAGTGCGTATCGTGTTTGGGTCCTTTGTCCAATGTCTTTTGTCCAGCCACTGACTTTCATTCATGAAAATAATACTCGAAAATAGAATGAAAAAGTTCCCTTTGTTTTGGTTGGCATTTTTGGACATTTGGCGGTGCGATACTTTGATATTTGTTTTCTATAGTTGAAAAACAGTTATGAATAGCCATCAAGAAAGCGACTTTGTTTTACTTATAAGTATCACATAAATTTTTTCGAATATTTTGGATCTGGATTTGGAACACATAACGAATAATAAATTTATGAAAAAATAACTATACACCGCATTATATCCAAAACATTTTTATATATCTGCTTTCTCGCGATTATTAATAATCATTAATATTATTTTGTATAAAACAAATAAAGTACCAAAAATACCAGTAAAGTACAAAATCTGGAAATCGATTGCAAAAAAAGTATTTCTGGTACTCAAGTATTTCTGGTCCCAAACCTGTTTATTTGCTTTTAATTAAGAATTTAATTTCTCACAGAACGATAATAATATTCATGGATATGTACGATTCCCCCACATTAAAAAGCATAAAAACCCATCCTAAATCCAGTATCCTGAGGCCTATTGACTCAGAAACACGCAGAGAGGCCATACTCAACCTCAAAGCTCATTCGTAAATTATTCAGGGGTAAATAATAACTTATCCGAGCACATGCATGAGCCTTTATAAAACAGCTTGGGCTATAATGAAGTCATATTTGTTAAACCAACAAATATACAAAACGAGAGAGTGGAAAAACAAACCCTTGGCTAAGTAGCAACAATGGCAACTACAACAATCAGTCAAAATGCAAATGTCACAACCAATTAATGTCAATAAATGATTAACCCAATGCCCAGTCATAAGGGTTTCGAGAGCCCTCGTTGGTGGTGGTTCCGTATTTCTTTCAAAACACCCCTTTAATAGACCAAATCCGGTTTGAAGTTTTTTTTCCCGGCTCAGTTAGTTTTGCGTTGTATCCATATCAAAAATTTAAGGGGAAGTAAACATTTCGATATGCTTTCATTTGTTCAGCGTTTAGGCGACTTTTGTTCACAATTAAATTGAAATTGTTCGCTTGAATGAAGCCGATGAGAAGATAGATAAAAGAAATTTCCATATTTCTAAATCCGTAACATTTGCTTTCTCTATAAGCCAAAGACAAGGTCTAAGTCAATAGCACGATCCAATTCTGGAAAAAAGGAAACCCGAATCAATCGAGCATGAAATAATCGTAGACAAAAAACGGAAGTGGTCAATGAGAAAATCTCAAGTGGCCCAAAACAATTGGTAAAAGGCGGTCAAAAGGACCTCTCGCACGAGACCAACGCACCGCCCAAAGAGATGGAATTCTAGTAAAAATATTAACACAACAGCAGATGCTCTCGATCTGGATATTGACCAGGGTCCAGATTCTTTTTTTTTTTTGCACAACCCGCCAATTAAGCAGAAGCCAAAAACCTTAAAAAGTAGGCGAACATTCGGATCGCCTACGAAGAAGTCGGGGCTCACAATTAACAATTAACGTCAGCAATTGTGATCCGTTTTATAGCCACTTAACATACGATCAACTGGCAGGACGACGACAATGCCGCACCTCGGCACAAAGGCCATGAAAAGGACAATTATAGGTAAATCCTTAAAGTCAGTTAACAAATGATAAAACTGCCGCCATAATTCTGTGTAATGTAGCCCAAAAACAACATTCGGCGACGTTCTGTCTGGCTAAGATGTCCTGACCTGGCCCAAAACACACACAAACAAAGGCGCAACGTGCGTCGTGTCGAGGATTTGTCAAAGGACCAAAAGGACTGCATCCATGAATGGGATAGTCCTGAATGGATGATCCCTGCCGCATTGTTCGCCGTAGTTGCACAAGCCGAAGAATGCATCAATAAAAATACGCCAGGGCGAGGACTCAAAGGAGAGATATTCCTCAATGTGTTGGAGGGTCCAGAAATCGGGAGTTGGAGAAGTAGAGGTAAAAATCGGGATTTCGGCAGCGACCACTTGGGTCTTAAGTTGCCATGAAATTGGCATTAAACGCTTGGAGGGCTTGCATTTTTCAATGGTTGTAAAATTAATCGATTCGATTGTGGAGAATCACTGAAGAGGTTTTTGTATTTCTTCAATAAATTACAAACAAGATACTACATAAATGACATTGGCTACTCAGTAGATGATTCGTCGAAAAAGATAAAGATAAAGATTATTGCGGCAAACCTTAAAATAAAGCAGGAGGTTTAAATGTTCTAAAAAATTAAATAAACTCGATTTCACCAAAGACTTATTCAAATTTTTTTTTTAATTTAAAGGATTAATAAAGCTTTAATTAACCATAAAAAGTAAAAATATTTTAATATTTATAAAATAAAAAATTTAGTTGTATGAACAGTAGTATAATAAAGTTTTTAAATTTTATCTAAACATACAGGGGTGAAACTAATAAAAACAAATTCAGGAAATACAACCAATTTTGAACAATTTGTACGAAATAAATTTTTATTTATGAAAAAAGGCAATTCTGACCTTCAATCTATAATTATTTAAACGGTCAAGGAAACTAACACAAAAATTCAGAAAATCTAAGAAATCAAAAAAGTTTAATAAATACATAGATACCCGTCGGATTAATTGATATATTTTTTAACAAATTTTACAAATCTCCTGTTTTATGATTATATTAAAGCTATTTATAACGAATAAAACGGTGTAAGTCACAGGCTTAGTAAATGCTTTTGCGTATAAACCGACGCTTATTAATGAGTGCTACCATCTTATTAGATTTACTTTTGCATTATTAGATATTGGTTTCCAAGCATTGAAACATCTTTCAATCTTTGCTTCGATCTGTGAATTAAGTTAAAATTAAATGACTTCTGTAATTTTCTATATTAATTGAACGCTGTTGAGTAATCAACGCAAAAAAAAAACATAGTTTTTCTTGGTCAGTTTTTGGATAATATAATTGTTTTCCCTTAAATTCCTCAACATTTTTTGATAATTTAATTGTTTTTCCCTATTTTAAATTGAATCAAAACCAAACTGAATGGAGTAATTAAATCTAGCTTAGGCTGCACTAATTCGGTTTCGTTTAAAAAGCTTTTACGCACTCTCTTCAACTTTCAATTAAACTCGACTGATAATACGAAATGGAAAGGAAGATTCGTTCCGCAAGGACACAGATACGGAGCCACTCACACAAGCAGTGTGCCAGAGGGTTCGCCATTGTCCTTGCACACAGACACAGTGAGGCATCATCGTTTACCTGCCATTTGTTTTGTGAATGTGAGTGATCGAACAAGGGCGGAGCGTAAATGGCAACAGTTGCCGCTAAATGGTGACTAAATGGCCGAACAGGCTCGGTTCAAACAACCCTCGAATTGGCCCTCAGGGGTGGGTAAGTGGAATACCAACCCCTGGAACAGGGTCTCGAGGTATATAAGACTCGGGTGAGGGTTCAGCCGGCAGACAGTCTCGCACAGTCAGCGATCGTGTTCAGTCAGCTCAGTCAGCTCATCTCAAAGTCATCTAGAAATCGAAAAATAACAAAATCAACGTAAAAACCGAAAATGTCTCGCTCTTTTCTGATGGATTCCCTGCTCAGCGATAGGCCCAACTTGAGCCAGAAGAAGGAGAAGCTGGGATCGCCAGGAGGAAGTCCTTCGGCCGCCGCCGCAGTGGCCGCAGCTGCCATGTTGCCATCCATTCCCATGCTTCCGTATCCAGCCAGCTATGTGGGCAGCTATCTCTTCTCTTTGGGCATCCAGCAACAGCAGCAGCAGCAGCAACAACAGGCAGCTGCAGCAGCCGCAGCAGCAGCAGCAGCTGCCCTGCAGCAACATCCTCATGTGAGCTCTAGTCCCGGTTCCCTTTATCATCCGTATGCCCAGCTGTTTGCCACCAAGAGGAAGTCCAGCGGCTTCAGCAACTACGAAGGATGTTATCCTTCGCCACCGCTGTCGGCCAATCCCAACTCGCAGCAACTGCCAAGTGCGCTGCACAATCTCTACGGATCGCCAGTTGTGGGTGGTGGACTACCTCTGCCCGAACCCGGCAGCTTCTGCACCTCACCCTCCGCCTCCTCGTCGGCCTCTCTGGATTACACCAACAACTTTGATGAGCCACAGGGAAAGCGATTCAAGCACGAGTCCTCCTGTTCGCCCAGCAGCTCACCTCTGAAGGTTCCCTCGGGGTCCTCGGGAAATCCGGCGGAGATCACACCTCTGATCAACGATTATGCCGATTCCAGCAAGAGGATTCGCACTGCCTTCACCAGCACTCAGTTGCTGGAGCTCGAGCGGGAATTCTCGCACAACGCCTACTTATCCCGCCTTCGTCGCATCGAAATCGCCAACAGGCTGCGTCTGTCCGAGAAGCAGGTGAAGATCTGGTTCCAGAACCGACGTGTCAAGCAGAAGAAGGGCGGCTCCGAAAGTCCCACCTTCAATCTGTCCACCAACTCCAATGGCAGTCCACAGGCCTCTCCCGTCTCTGCTCAAGTCAAGGTCCACGAGTTGAAAGTGGAGGCGTAAAAAACATCTACGAAAATAACTAAGAAATTGTACAGTAAAAATAAGTCTGTTGCTAGCCATAAGTATGTTAAAGTAAATAAATATTAATCAAAATTAAAACTGTTTTTTGTCTATGCTTAGAAAAATATTTCGATAAAAATATCTATACTCCGAAAACACAAAAAAACTGGCGTTACCTCAAATGTAGGATTTAATACCAATTTTAGGAAATTTTGCCTAACATAAGATTTAAGACAACATATTGTCTTAAGTCCATGTTTATTCCATTTTACCTAAAAAATAACTGCAGAGATATTTTCTAGGTAAAAATGTCCACATTTTTATTTAGCAATATGAAGATTTAAATTCAAAATTTAAATAATTTGCCAAAGATCTCCTAACTTAAAGAAAAACTTATAATTGTAATTTGAAAGCGTTTGTATCAAAGATCTCAATTTGTTAATGTTATTTATTTTTAAAGGATTAATAATACCTTTATTTTGCTAAACATATACCCTAACCTCACTATCGAATCTTAATATTCCTATCGAATAAATAATGAGGTAGCAACTCTAGAAAAGTATTTTCACTGCAAATCAAGCAGGTCATGACAATTAATTTACAAACGGTCCTTTCATAAAAAAACCAACCAAAATTTGACTTCTGAAAAATTTAGTCATTGCCGAAACTTTGCTGTCATCATGTCGAATTTGTACACCGAGTTGAAGAACGAGTGGAGCAAACATGCCCCGAATTTGGCCCATTGCTCCCATCTGCTGGATGGTTTCAAATTGGAGCTGGTGAGGTCCAATTTCGGGACAATTCAGGTCTCATCGAGTTCGAAACAAAAGGACCAACTAATCAAATCCCGGGAGATGCTGGAGATCGCCGTGGAACACAGCATTACCATCAGGGATTATGCTGCGTTCGAGAGATACATGGCCCAGTTGAATACCTACTACTATGATTACGACAAGTATCTGGAGTCATCCAAGCACATGCACAAGTTCATGGGTCTAAATCTGCTCTACATGTTGGCCACAAATCGGATTGCCGACTTTCACATTGAACTAGAGCGCTTGCCGTCGGCTTTGCTGCTCCACGATACCTTCATACATCCCGTTTTGGCCCTGGAGAACTACTACATGGAGGGGCGGTACAACAAGATACTGCAAGCCAAGAAATCGATGCCCTCGGAGATCTACGCGAACTTCATGGACATGCTGGTCAACACGGCTCGCGAGGAGATCGCCTCCTGTATGGAGAAGTCTTACCTCAAGATGGCACCCAAACAGGCGGCTCAGCGTTTGGGTCTGCGTCCCGGTTCCAAGGAGCTTTTGGATCTGGCCAACAGACGTCGTTGGCAAATGGATGAGGAGGGGAACTACGACTACGCCGGACTCCATACCAAAACATCGGATAAGGTCCCTGCCAAGGACATTGCCACCCATAATCTCACTTATGCCCAGGAGCTGGAGAAAATTGTTTAAATTGTATTTCTAATCCCCTCAACCAGAAAATAATGTCCGGAATTTATGCATTCATCTTAAAATCAGTAAATACCGAACCGGAAATTTGTCAGATTTAATTTTTCACACATCTCAAGGGCTTCATTCGTTTTTTTTTTTGGCATAAAGTGTGCAAAAATTGAGTTGCTCGAAGGGCCGATAAGTCGACAGGCCTGACAAATTATGGGATAGAAAATGTTTCTGGCGAAATCTCGTTTGCAAATCTGTCATAGGATGATTGTTAGGGGAGCTTAGTGAGTGGCAGTTCTATAGGATGGTTGTTAGGATATAGAGATACGTTCTATAAGAAGGTAGTTAGTCTTAAAATGATTGGTTTGTTAATGGGATATATTGGTTTCTGTTGAAAAATTATTGATATCACCGATGGAGAATATCTCTCGTGAGATTTTAATTATTCTTAAGAGAGTAATTTATATTCACAACACTAATATTACGGAAAATTAGATTAAATATATTTCGCAAATCACTCTTTAAGACAGATATCGATTTTTTAGGTTTGGTATTATAGAATATTCTAAAAGATAAAAGATAAAAAAGATTTTTTAAAGATCCGTTAGTAAATTAGTTCCGCAAGACAACAGAAAATGTACCCAGGCGAAATGTGTGGTCTGCCACCGAAATGCAACCGCAAATGATGACACCGATTCATTTTTGCCGAATCATTGAAAATTCGAATTAATCAAGGACACATTTCGCCAGGGAGTGGGTAGAGTTTTTAAGCATTTCCCACGACACTTCAAATTGCACAAATTAATGATGCCAACTCGGGCGATGCTTATCATTTTAGATATGTCAGCGATTTGTCCAAAATCGAGATTTGTAGGTATAAGTGACAAACCCAAAACGAATCAAGCGCAACAAAACCTGCCCGAGCCGACTCATTCAGCATTCATTGAACGGCGGACAATTCCTCAATGGGTCCTCTAACTTGGAACCGAAACGAGGACTAACTCGTCCTTTTGTCCGATCCCAAGGGGTGCGGTGCTAATAAACGCAATTGCACCTACGCCCCTCTGGGCCTTCGGTCCGAAAATGGAAATCAGAATGCCGATGGGCAAAATAGCCCAGTCGGCGGTTTTAAACAGAATTTCGGTATTCCATTCTCCTTGCTATTCTAGAAAATTTTGGACTCCCCTCTACCTGACCCGAGACCCCGATCGTTATCAACTGGAGTTCTCGGTGTCTTTGCTCAAGTGTGCGCCTCTTCCACTTGAACTGAAGAGCTGGGCTCTTGAGTTTCAAGTGCTGCACCAGCAGGTAAGACTCCTTGACTCCTTTCAGGATCTTCTATTTTTCGCAAATTCATTCAAGGAGCGTAGCGAAAATTGTTGTGCCAAATTGTGTTGCGTGGGCTCTTCGATGGTTATCGGATGGAATTAATTTGATTTTTAGAAAATCACAGATAGCATTTAAAACTAGTCGACTGGATTTTAGGACTGTATTTGCGAAAATTGCATGGGAACACAATTGGGTAGTAACATTACGGAAAGGAAGAAATTAATCAACGCATTAGACAACAATAAAGGGGGTTGTGATTTTATAACATAATGTAAATAATTATTTATAAATAATATTATAATATATAATAATATGAGCCAAAATTGTAAAATTCAATTTTTATAAAACTAAAGAAATTGAATTTTCCAGTTTTATGTCCAGTTAGAAAATATGTTTAATAAAAAAATATATAAATTTTTCCTGACCTTTGAAATTGATACTCTTTCAATATTATTCCTTAAACATCTAACATTTTTATTAAAAATTAGAAATTTTAAACCTAAACGTGCAACTGTTACTTAGCATTATGTTGATATATATGCATAACTTTTAGTTAATGGTATGTTGAATAATATTGGCTTCGGGTTATTATCAAAGTTCCTGAAATATATACATAAACAATGAATAAAACCATTCCAAATATTTTCTAAAACATTGACAAATTTCACAAAATTGTTTCCGTAAACAAATTTGCATACACCTTTTCTCTGAAGGTTCCACTTTTAGAGTTTCCTCTGCCAGATGTCTTGCCAACTTTCGAATACCCCGCTGATTCGAAAATTCCTCGCTGTGCCGATCTCCCGCCCGGCAGACACTTCATGAATGAATACAGCCTCAAGTGCAGAACCTCTTCAGTTTAAAGTGGAATCTTTAGTCTTTGAATCGCTTCCATGAATGAATGCGCTGCACTGCCTGCATCAAGGCTGGGAAATTCCCCTAGGCTCTTTGGGCCTGTTAAAAGATCATTAGGCCAACGCTTCTGGCTAGAACAAATGAAATTCCGTTGAAAATTGCCCGCCTACCTGAAAGCCGAAGGAATATGTCAGGTGTTCAACTCTGGATTCTCTGTCTAGACAGCCTGTCGCCGAAGTACGGAGAGTCCTTAAATTCCCTGTGGTGCAACGGTTGTGGCCTCAAGTGTTTAATTTAAATATATTTTTTTATAAGTATTTCAGCCGCAAGGGAATTCCGAATCCAAATTCTAAACCAGGAAAAATCCCAAAGAGCTTTGAAAACTTTTCCTGACTAACTTTTAGTACTTCTTAAATAAAAAGCTTTCAGGACATAAAGTCTCGATTGTTTTAAAACGTCCTCCAAAGCTTCGAAGCTTTTGCAGCTTAATGGGGGCTCCTTTCAACTCAATTTCAGGGTTAAACTTTTGGGGGCCATTGGGTTGTCACGCAGAAAGCAATAAAACAACTGCAGACTGAGGTAAATCTAAGCTCGCAGTCCAGAAATCCTTTAAGCTTATGCAAATAAAAGCGTGCACACAAAATAAATAAATTAACCGTATATGCTTATGGGTTTGTAGTAGTACGTAGTCTGGGGGGTCAAGCAAAGGTAAACATGTGAGTCCAAATGAGTTTTTACTTTTCCACACATTTGAGTTTATTTATTTTCTTGTTTTTAATTATTAGTTCCAGCGAAACGGCTTCCGGTATCCTTGCTTTGACCTAGATTAACCACATATTTATGGCAAATTTACCCTTAGAATCCTGTTGGAAATCGTCGATGTTCCTGGGTCACGCAATCGGGGATTTCTGCCTTATGCGCGATATGTGGAACCAGCTAATTGACCCATTAAAGCGGCCTCTAAACATTGTTGCTCCTTGGAGTGCTTTTTAGGTCACAGGATGTGTGAAGCCGTAAAGTTGTCCGCACTTAAAGCGGTAATTTTCGAGGTTTTCTAGCCGGCATAACCAAAACGAATATCATTTAGATAAACGATACTCAAGAAATACAATTTCACATAGCGTAAATTGTGATTAAACAAATCTAGGATTAAAGCAAATTATTAATTTAATTAAAATGGTTTTTAAATACCAGTGGCTTAAACATACAATAACTTTCACTGGCTTTTTTGTGTCTTCTCATCATTTGAAACCTTTAGAAATTAATCAATAACACGTGTGTGTACTTGAAAATAAAACAACAAAATTCGAAGAAATGGCTTTTCATGGTAAACAAGGCACAAGCACTCTTTACCGAATTTTATTAAGTTTACCAATTGTTTTGGAACTTAGTGTGCGGGTACTTTTTCAATTATACCCGAGAATGTCGGCTTCCAATAATTATCCCTCCGTAAAAGATTTCAATTTGCTAAGCATCCCGCAGCTTCTATCACCCAACAGTTTGCTATCAGGTCAGCTTTTCACCTCCCCGTAATCGGTGACCCTCGGAGGATTTCTGGAGCCAGCACGTCATCGTCCTTGGCCACACTGTGCATTGTATTTAATGAACTTGTTGTTAGCCGTTCTGGGCTCATCTTCAGCACGTTGACTTGGCCGGGAACACGACCTGGGATCCGATCCGGGGGTCTGGAGCGGAACGATGGAGCAATTTCTGTGGCGCCCCACAGTCGTCGAGTGGCGCCTGTTTAAAATGAGTTTTGTCGCTTCGTTATGCAACTGACGACATACTAGGCATTGAAAGTGAATACACTCAGGGAAAACACTATCAAAACAATAAGAAATATATAAAAAAAATATTTGAAATATTAATCAGATTTTATTTTAAGGATTACTTTTGTTGTCTCAAGAATGTTTTTAGATTTTTAATTTAAGATTGAGTTTTAAAAAATATTATATATCGTTTTAATTTGTATAAACATTATATTATTTTACTGTTATTATTATTTTACAAAGTTAATGAGTAGCATTTAAAAAGCTTGATGAATGTTTTTTTTTCTGATTTTTTTTTATGAAAACATATTCCGAAATAAAGAAAAACATTTCTCTCAGTATGGTAGGCACCGAGGCAAGAAGAATAAGATAAACATACGCACAGAAGACTATCTGCTCAGGACGATGTAATTATGATTGTAGCATATGCCAGGAGGCGCCTACACACTGCGAGGACAATGTCCTTTCTCTCGTCCCCAAAGGAGCCCGATGGCCAGGCGAATTTACATATGGAGAGGAATCAACAGAAATATATAATACATGTGGATCTGTTTATGTGCGTATAGATTACAAGTGAAACTGAATTTATTGCCAGCATACGCATTGAGTGGCACGTGTCCGGATTTCAATTATATAAAAAGCTTAAAACGCACACACGCAGAGATACCTATATTTATATGCGATGAAAAAAACAGGGAATGAACATTAAAGCATTTGAAATTTAAATGGCAGAGCCCAGCTAGACGAAACTTTTGCCCCAAACACCCGCAATGAAAACGGCCTAGAAGTGAATGAACTTGTGTAGGAAAATGGAAAATGGGTTGTCTAAGCCTAGCGAGCTAAAAACGAGGTGCTAAACCAAGAACGCCTTTCTTTGCCGGCTAATCTTTAAGATTAAAGTCAGGATAAGTACATAGGTATTAGCTGCGGAGGAAGGTGGGTCGTTTATGGGGAATAAATGCGAAACCCTTGGAGAAAAACATCTGCCGAAATACAACAAAAAGCCTAAATTCAGTCAAAAAATACGACAAAAATAACGAAGACGAGAAAACAACAGCCATGGCTTTGTTATTAAAAAGAGAAGAAAATAAAAAGAAGAAAGCAGCCAGAGATGAAATGAAATCAAGTCGAGAACAGCAAACTGGCAGAGGACATAAATAAATATGCCAGCATATCTGCAGGGCAAAGGCGACGACTGCGTTGACAATTTTCGCCAATGCCGAATGCCAACCCCCCCACTATGCCACCCACTTTTCCACCACCTCCCTCCCGCCCCTCACGTAACGCAAATGGGTTATAGTCGTTGGCACAGGTGGCCTGGCGGGCTTACGAAATGTAAGCAACTTGTTGCTGAAACAGAATCAAAAAAGACGGCCGGAAAAAATGAAGAGCAAACGAAACGAAAGCCCCAGGAAAAATGGGAAAGGCAGGGAAAATGGGAGGGGGAGAGGGGGAAAACAGATAGGGGCCAGAATGTGCAGTGAGCAACAAGCTAAGCCCCTTGTCGATGGTTTGGGCCAAAACTTTTTTTATGCGCACGAGGGCTGAAAAAAGGGGTCTGAATAATTTAAAAACGGTAAACTTGCATTGCACTTCGGGAAAATATTGTAATGGATGTACTGCTGTATTACCTTGTTTTCAAAAGATTTCAAATGTTGAGAATCCGAAATAAAACAACATTCATATACACTTTATTTATTTCGAATATTTTTGCAATAGATCAAATGATATACAAATTCTTGGTGCTATCAATTGGATTGTATTCGATCGGATTTCACATGGTCCTCGACAAATAAGAAACTGACATTTGTATCGAATTGCAGTCTCTTATCGAAGTACCATCTTAAGGCCAACAGATATTGACCAGTCGGAAAAGGTAGACCCAATAGTTCAGGCTTCAGATAAAATCCCTCCAAAACCTGTGGTCCCTGCAAATAAATGTAAAATATTTTAAATTGCACAAACAACGAATTTGAAAACATCTTACCACATAGGGACACGTGTGATTAATATTGCTAAATTGTTGAAAGAGCCCGAAAACTATTTTGGCCACAGGATCATATCTTGTTCGCATGAAGCGGCAAGTTTCAATTTTAACGTCGACGAGCCAAGGCTTTAAGCCATTTTCTCTTTTGTAAATCTTAATTTTGGTTTGTATATTAGAAGCTGGATGCAAAATAGTTCCGTTCATATTGAATACAACCCTGTCTCGACTTACGGCCTTTAGACGGCAGTGATGAAACTCAAACCAGGTTTTATTATAGGTCTCACACATAACGTTTGTCATCTTGAAAATGAGCGCAACCTAACAAACTGATTTGAGAATTTAATTCATTATATATATTTGTTTCCTGAACTTACACTAAATTTTGTCAAAAATAAACCAAGTAGAAAACAAATGACTAAATGAAACCGCATTTTGAAAGCTTCCAAAACCATACTAATATTAAGCCAGCCAGACAGGAAGGCAGAATTTAAAAATCAATCGCGCGAGAAATTATAAAGAGTTTAAAAAAATTCGCTTGATTATACCTACTAATGGACTAACCAATTTTTGGAATCTCTATAATAGCTTAATTTCTTAATTAAACATCATTATATATAGAATGTGTTAAATGTACTTTATGATAAACAGTTTCCCAGAAGGTACATAAACATCAGGTCGCTTAATGGTCATCGGTTTATTTACCAACAAATTTATCGGCCACTGCAATTTTAAAATCCAAAACATTTCCCATTTATATGTATGTCCTATTTTAAATTAAAATCCCAAATAAAACAAAAAATGTATTTTTTTTATTTAAAACTGTTAAATACAATATTGTGCAATTTTTTTTTTAATCTTATGATGAATTCTTTCTTAGTTGGATTTCCTGAAATCCTCTTCAAAGATAAAACTGACATTGGTATCGAATTGTAGTTTTCTATCAAAAAACCATCTTATAGCCAACAGATATTGACCCGTTGGAAATGGTAGATACAACAATTCAGGCTTCAGATAAAATCCCTGCAAAACCTGAGGTCCCTGGAAATACATTAAAAATTATATTTTTAATCGCCTAAATAATGATACATAAATAATAGCTTACCACATACGGACACGTGTGGTTAATGTTGCTAAATTGTTGAAAGAGGCCAAAGACAATTTTACCAACAGGATCATAATTTGTTCGCATAAAGCGACAAGTGTCGATTTTGGAGTCAATAAGCCAAGGCTTAAAACCACTTTCTCTTTTGTAAATCTTCATATGAGTGTGTATAATATTAGCCGGATGAAGAATAGTTCCATTCATATTAAAAACAACTCTGTCTCGACTTTGGGCCTTAAGGCGGCAGGTATGGAATTCGAACCACGATTTATTATAGCTTTCACACACAGCGTTCGTCATCTTAAAAACAAGCGCCACCTAGTTAACTCAAATAAGAATTTATTAAAAAATTGTACGGTTCTAGGAACTTACAGTAAAATTGGCAAAAAACACAACCAGGAGAGCACAAAGAACTAAATTGATCCGCATACTGTGCACTTTAAGATACAGAATCAAGTTAAACAAACAAACAGTCAGCTAAAACTCAAAAAGTAATCAAGGGAGACATTATAAAACGTTTTATTAACTTTATTTGAGCTATTAATGTAGATGGTAATATTTGAATTGCTTAATGTCTATATTTGTCATTATGTTATTAAAAATATATTAAGTATAAATAAAGATTACGCCATTCAACTTTTCAGTAAGACTTTCAAACTAAAAAAACAGAATCCATTTATTATTTATTTCATAAAAAACCTTTTCATCTGTTAATAAGATCAAAGTATTATCCCCTTTTTACTTAAAAGTTGTATGTTTCTGGAACTTAACTAGTATTTTTATGTTTTATTAATTTATTTAATTAAATTTAGAATCTAAACTTTTTCTTTCAATTTTTAAAAAATTATTTGGACTTTCCAACATCTTCTACAAACAAAAAACTGACGTTTGTATCGAATGTAAGTTTCTTATTAAAAAACCATCTTAATGCTAAAAGATATTCGCCAGTGGGAAACGGTAGACGTAATAGTTCTGGCTTCAAAACGACTTCCTTCATTATCTGTGGGCCCTGGTAATAGATTCAAAAACATATTGTTAAATGCATAATTAATATGGTGAAAATAACTTACCACATACGGACAAGTGTGGTTAATATTGCTAAATGGCTCAAAGAGGCTGAGGACTATTTTACCGATAGGATCATAATTAATTCGCATAAAACGGCACCAATCGATTTTGGTTTCCATAACCCAAGGTTTATAGCCATTTGCTCTTTTGTAAACTTTAATATGGGTTTGGATATCAAAAGCTGGATACAGAATATATTGGTTCATATTAAGTACAACCTTGTCACGACTTACGGCCTTCAGACGACAGTTATGAAACTCGACCCATGATTTGTTATAGCTTTCACACACAAAGTTTGTAAACTTAAAAACGATCGCGACCTAAATAATTGACTTAAGATTTCAATTCAATATATTGTTATCGTAAACTTACGTTAGATTTAGTAAAAAACACTCCCAGAAGGGCACAAATGACTAAATTGAACCGCATACTGTGAGCTTTAACAAGCAGACTAGAAATAAAAGAAGCAATAGACTGTTGTCATTTTGTCATTAATACTGATTTTACTAATATTTGATATATCTGTTGGTCCATTAATAGTTCTAATCAATATAATTTTAAAATCGTTTTATAATTTCTTACATTATTACGCTTTACATTTCATGTATAATTGAACATTTCAGGAAAGTAGAGTTTGTAAAATTTCAAATCATACTATAATGATCATTATTTAAAATAAAAAGTAATATTTTGTGGTTCTTAATTTTTCATTTTAAATAAATGAAATTGATATATTTTAGATAAAATTAAATTATATATTTATTATAATATTATTTAAATATATATATAACAATATATTTTTTTACAATCGCTAGATAAGGATTTTTAAAAAATGTGGCAAGTGGGTTGAAAAGTTGTATGGTAATTGGATAAACGGATTCACATAAATGGTATCAAACCTCATTAAATTGCTGTATGTTAGACTTTAACGGGGAGTATTAGGAGCGACTTATAAATATCTTTAAAAGTTTGGCAATCGCTTTCATATTTTCGTCCCGCCATCCCTTGAAACAAGCCTCTTCTTGCCACGCCCCTGTTCGCCTGCCTATGCGAATATCGTGCGCTAAAGAGAAGCCTACGATGAGTTGTCTGTACATGTCTGAGTCCAGTGTCCTTTCCCTTTGTCCGTCCCGCCCTGCTTAGCTTGAAGTAGTCTGCCTGAAAAGTTTCCTGTCCACATAAAGTATCCACAGACACACCGACTTACAAACATAAATATATGCACACATTTAGGTTATGGACAGACACACAGCTACGCCATTTGGGGGTGTCCTTATACTATCCTATGCGGTCTGTTTGTCTGTTGCAAACACAATGCAAAACTAGGCAGTCGGTGATTTTCATACCGAAGAAGGAGATACCCTTCTATAAGGAATGGTATTTAACAAGATAATATTCAAATTGAAATAAAGGTACCTATTAAATAATTAAATAAGTTTGAGGAGGAAATTCTAATAAAGTTGTTGAGTTGTAGAATGCTTAATGTATCAAGAGTTCTTAAAAAATGTTCGTAAACTCTTGAAATTGACGGAGGAACCTCTGAGGAACCCATATTATTTTATTGTTATAGTTACTTTAGTTAAAAAGATTTTTTTTTTTTTAAATCGAATTTTTGTTCAGTACGTCCAATAATGGAATTTTGCTGCTGGTGCAAGTCTCTGCGCCAGAAAGTAGGCATTGTTTTTTTTCCACCTGAGTGCCGAGGACCTTGCCATTGGCATTTTGCATTTATGAATCGATAATACCCTCGGGAAGAGTATGGAAAACCTGGGAGGAAGAAGCAGCACGATGCCATTGCCATGGGTAAACTTACTTTGCAGCTTGCTCAATGTCAGCCGTTGTTGGTCTTGCTCTCGCCGTAGCTTCGTGCTTTTGTGTTCCTTTTTTCAGGGGCAAAGATGACAACAGGTAAATAAGGTGGTTGGGTGGTTAGGAGGGGGGCGGTGGGGTGCCGTGCAATGGCAGAGAGCTAAAAAAAAATGTTCTGGGCGCACTTGTGTGCGTCAATTAAGGTCGCTTATGGGTAACTCGAGCCGCAGTTATGGGCGGTCATTAAGACGAAAAAACGCCGAAAAAGTATTCAACAAATTGAATCACTGGCACACACACAAACACACCGATACACAGATATATACATTTAATATCTCCTGGCTCTCCAAAATCATTTCTCCGAGCTTTCAAGGTGAAGTCCCATACATACGCAGGACATTAAAAAGCTGGCGCCAAAGCTTTTTCGAACTAATCACTTTCGTCCTGGAGTTGCCTTTGCCCCGAGTTAAATAGTCCTTAAAATGATAGAAATATAATAGGATCCTAAGGACAGCCAAGTTCTCTATCTAAAACTATAGCATACTTCACGGGTTATAAAGACCACTCCCCAGAAATAATAAAAATAAGAAATGAAGGATGGGGAGAGAGAGCAACAGCTGATTGAGAAACGCACAAGGCAACAAGTTGCGAAAAAGCTTTCGGAGTTCGCATTGAAAGAATTCAATGCCAAAGGAGCTTACACGATTGATACTTTCTCTCTCTCACAGTGTCTCTGTGTGAGTGGTTTGTTGTTGCTGCAGCACTTTAAAAAATTATTCTAATTATGTAAAAATCCTTTTAAATCAAGCTCAAGACTTTAACATAATAATTTTTACAAGAACGACAAGGATATAAAACAGAAATTATGACTACAAATTATATTTCGAATTTAGGACCGACTTTAATGAAATAACGTATATTATTAACTAGTCTTCTAGCAAAATAAAATATATTTTCTGACATAAATACGACAGACAACACGTTGTAAATGTTTTAAAATCAAAACTTATTTTATTTTTATTTTCTATAAACTATTTTTGTAATTGTTTCTCCAGTTTAAGGCTACATTCCATACTGAAATTATTTTTTACCTTGGCTAATATTGAATTTCCTGATTTTTCTCGAGTGTTTTGTCATCAATTTCGGGGCACTAGAACACTCGCTCTTCTGTTTCCGTTTCTGCTCCTGTCGGCAGTTGGCAAGGCCGAAGACGAAGTGCTTTCGAATGAAGTTCCCTTTTTTTGCAACTTGTTGGCTCTGCGTGAAAATGGAAAATCAGTAGCACGCGTACAGCTCCCAAGTGAAGAACATCTCGCGGACCGGATTTTCACAGCGGGTTTTCAAAGTTAAAGCCAAAGGCAGAAACTGAAATCGCTGAACGCCAATTAATGGACGCCAAGAGGCAACTTTCAATTGAGTTTCGTCGTTCCACAGTCGTTGTTGCTGCCACATATTGCTTCTGATATTTTGCGGCCGTGTTTGTGTCTGTGTGACTCTGCAATATGGCCAAGTGTTTTGTGCTGAAAAATGTTAACCAGGCTTAGGCCGAGCGCTCTCTAATCCCATCTGTTCAGCTTGTTGGCGACAAAAAAAAAAAAAAAAACAGAAAAAGTAAAAGAAAACGAAGAGAAATATCAAGTAGGTAAAGGAACCTTTGGAACTGTTGCTTCGCTGCTTTCGCTCTCGGGTCGCCACTTTCTCCAAACTTTCACGCAGCCAAAACTTATACCGTCTTATCTATTATTTACCAGTTCATTTTCATAGCAAATCAAATGTGTCAGCAGCTGGGCAAGGCTTTATCCTAGATATATTCCTACATATTCATGAGGTCCATGCATCTTGTTTGCTTTGGGCTAATTGGAAAGTTAATTGAACCCGCGGCGATGGAAAGTTAATTGTGCATTAATTAGTTTGGTTTTCCGTGGCACAGAACCCTTGGTCCTGACATATTCCAAGGTGGGGTTCGTGTCTGATGGCCAAATTGCAATTGGAACATCTTTGGAATTTCGATTAAAGTCCCCACGTCAAAGAGGATGAAAAAAAACAAAAATTGAAAATATTCTCCCAAAGAAGAAAAAAAAAGTTTGGGGTGCACAAAAAAGAAAGTAGGGTTAATCGGAAATAATGAACATTATCTGAAAAGTAATGTGTTGAATTTTTGCCAAGGATGAATCTGCTTTGAACTATTTCTAAAACAAATTTTATACAGCAAAAATTTGAAATTTGAAATTTGAATTGGAAAGACTATATCCATTTGAATTGGTAAAACGCCTAATAAAATATCTTAAGGACAGTTCATCGGTATTATTAATGTTATAGACTTTTTCGGTTATTAAGAAAATTTTTGAACCTATATTCTTTTATATTTTTCCGCCAGTGTGCCCTTGTTGAGTATTAGCAAATGCTTTTGGCCCTTTCCCCTTGGTCTCTTTATCCGTGAGTCGCTTTCTCGTTCTCCGTTTTGCTGTTCTTCGAGGGATTGCCACAAAAATTCCGTATGCGCCCTGTGCTCCTTGCTGAATTCTAGGCGCGGTCCCAAAAACTCAGTTTCAATCCCAGTCCCTTCCCCGAACTGCAGATCGCTGACTGATGAGTCCTTCTTGGGAGTCCTTCCCTCTTCCCCTCTCATGTTTAGGCCTAGTCAAGAGCAAAAAGCAAAGTTAATATAATTATTTATAGATAACGAATCAGGCGAGTGCACAAATTCGTTGGGTGGTTGTCTCCTATTCTGCTAGGGAGCGTTAATGGAGCATCTGCCTGGTTTTGTGGCAGGGGACATTCGCTATTAACCAGAGATGATGGCAAGCACTTTCACTATAAAAAATATTTAAATTGAAATAGGGATTTTTATTGGAAAGAGCACCATTTTTAAAGTAGGTCGAATAATTTACCCTTTAAAATTGATATATTTTTACTTACTTTAAGCAGTGAAGGGGGTAAACAAGTTTTTAGAAAAATTTGATGGCCCATTAGGCTTTAAAGGAAATGTTTAGAAAATAAATTTGAACGCACTTAGTAATTTATTAATTAAAGAAGAATATGTTTTGCAAACAAGCTAATATTTTTATTTGGGGAAAAATTAAATAAGTGAAAAAAGAAGTGAAAAATGTTATATTTCAACGTTTGATTTTCTTCCATTATTTTTTTTTAAATTCAATAGAAAGAAAATGTATCAATTTATGGAAATTCCAAATCGATTTCTTTAATGTAACCAGTTTCCTTAATATTTTAGGGATACTGCACAACTATTGTAAAGTGGGTACTCAATTTAACTATAATTTTTTACACCATTTATTTTTCCTTCCTACTTTTGTAGTTTTTAGTATCGTCTATAATTTTTTTTTGTGTATCAATGAGGAGTAAAATCAGAGCATGTTTAGGCAGTCATCGCTGCTCCCATGCGCCTATTAAATGTTATTGTTGCTCCTGCTGTTGCTCACGTGCTTCAGCAGCATCCTTATCCCCCTTCATCGCCCATTAAAAACGCACACGAAAGGCTTCTGGGAGTCTCTATATGCGTGCCTACATATATGGTTGCCTAGAAGGGAGTCCATAAATTATATCAATGAGGCAGCGTATAATAGAAAAATATGTCAGCATTTTGTGGATAACAATAAATGGCAGCCCGAGGGAGAGAGATAGGGAGTGCGTGCGAGTGAGAGGCAATATGACACGCGTTGGCACACACACACACGTAAAACATGTTGCATGTGCCACACAATTTGTCACAATTAGAAGGACGAAAATGGCTGCAACGAGTCACGGGCCAAGAGAACAGCCAAACAAAAAGTCGGGGGATGTGGATATTCAAGTGGGATCTTCAGCTGCATTTGGTTTTCCCTCTTTCTCCGACTTTCCTTTGCCTTCTGTCTTTCCAGCTGACTGACTCGCATCCAAGTCGTAAATCTTAATTTGGCATTCGAGTTGCACTCTGGCTGCATCTAAGCCAAATATCCTTCAGCCTTGGCAATTACTCACATTCAAAATATCCACGCATACCACACATACACATATAGACACCCACGCGCCTTCGCAGAAGGGAGTTCCCTTGCATACGAATTGCATATGTATGAGTTGATTGCATTATCCCCACCCCCAGGATATTCGTCCCAGCACATTCGTCCCCATTTCCCTCTTGGTTAGCCAATGCATATCCGTCCAAAAGTTCAGCAAGATGGAACTGGTCATAATTACACTAAGAAAATATCCAAGGACGCACTTAGTTAATGGGCAAAATGAAAAGAATAGATAGAAAATTTATCTTTAACGGGTAGATGCAAAAATAACAACAATTTTAAGAAATTAGAAATCTGTTATAGTAAAGTGGTTTAAAAAGTAGCAAATTACTAAAATGCACAAAATATTGTGAACTAAATATTTTAAGTGCTATGAAGGCTTAAAAAAATGCTGTGTTATAAAAGTACTAATCATACAAATATTAACCAGTCAAAACCTCGAGTTTATCAAGCAAATAAACCTTGATTTAAGTATTTGTTTACCTACAAATAAGCAATTAGCAATTATAATTGAGATTTATTTTTAATTAAAGTTTGAAAAATAATAATTGTTGAGATAACCTGTAGAAATATATAACAAAACAAATCGTTTATAATATTTATTTTTACACCTTAGACATTGTAGAAATGTAAAATTTTCGAGTGCATGAGCATCAGTTAGTTGGAGAAGAGGGCTTAAAATATGATTTATTCAAATGATTGCACGTACAAATGTACTCACATATGCATTTGTTCTCGTATGTGTGTCGTCTACATTTGTATGCGCACTTAAATTAGTTTACTTGATTTCCGTTGAACATTTGATTTGCTTGCTGTCAGCTCTGTAAAATCAAATTTTGAAAAGTATGAAATAAATGAAGATACAAGTATGGACAATCACTGTGCGCACAATGGACGGCAAATAAAACTTCCTGGAAAAACTTTAAAAGTGATACCTAGCTTTTTGTGTCATAATCCGCTTTTTCATGGCTTACAGTGATGCAAAAAAAGTTGGCACAGCATTCAATGAATATTGAATAGGTTGTAATGCGATTTTCTTTTTTAAAGCTATCAGTGTCCATACTCTTTGAATACACATTTTTTTGGCATCTGTAGGATCTTTATGGTAGGTTGATATTTAACAATTTTTATCGTACAACAATTTTACAAAATTAAATATGTACTTTAATGAATGCTTTTAATTTATAACTCTAACTGTTCCAGAATTTCAAAAAATAAAAGCCTTTAAATATACAAAAAAGATTAAAAAAAGTAAAAAAAGAAATATATTAAGTAATGAGTAAAGTAATTAATTTTTGTGCAGAGACTTCACCAACTCACTGTGCCAATTCGCATGTGTTGTTTACCAGGCCTCAAGTCATCCATAAAAAAAGGGCAAACACACAGTGCACACTGGCAAGGGGAAGGGTGGGCAGCAGTGGGAGGATGGGGCAAAAAATCTGACACAGATACAGTCTGCAGTTAATTAAAAGCGCAATAAATAAACAATAAACAATGGCCATGACGAGGCGGCGGATGTGTGTGGGTGCAGAAGCGGATGTGGATGCGGATATGTGGCAGCATCAGCTGGGGAGTTCTGGCCAGGCTTAATGCACTTATGGTCGGTGCAATATGCAAATGCAATTAAGTTGCATGAAGGCGCGGAGTGAAAGCTGCCCGCCGCCCACTGAATCGGGAATGGAATCACGTAGAGCAGGGATTGCAGTTGACCAAAATCAATATTCGCAGTATGTCCCCCAACAGAGGCATTAAACTTTTCCCTTGCTTCCGAGGAAGTCCCGTCCCGAACTAAAAGAATTTTCGAATTTCTTTTCAAACAACTTCTTCACAAAAGCTAAACGAAAATATTTCCATTTTTCCTGGAAGAAAAAAGTGGCTACCCAGCATCGTTTTCATTAGGAAAGCAGAAACGAATTCAAATTAAAGAATAACACAAAAGTTCGAATGCAATAAAGGCGAAAGGCACTTTTTCGTATTTCCACAAAACGGATTTCCACACAAAACGGCCTTGTGCGGTTTGTGTTCCGAGAAGAAGGAGAAATCACGTAAAATTCGCAATAGATTTTCGCAGGCAATTTGCGGAGCCATTCGAGATATTGAAACCTGATTCCAGGTTTGAGCCATGGCCGACGGGCGAAATCCATATAACCGCACACATCGAGCACTCAGGCTTATGCAAGCAGAAAGTTTTCAAAATATTTTTTATAGCCAGCCAGTTGACAGCGCGGGTGGGGAAAATCCGAGGAAAACGCGCTGAGGGTGGGGTGAAAACCCAGCGACAGAGAGATGAAAGCCAAAAATGATGCCCTGATAACGATTCTGGGCTCACACGTACACGCGCACTCACACAACCCAACTCATCGATTTGTCAGGACCTTTTTGCACAGGGGAAATAAATCGAGAGGGAGAGCAAACGAGGGGGGACTTAAGGATGGTGGGGCTAAAAGTTGGGGCCCTGTTGCCCTGGCAAATGGCAATCAAATTTCACCCAATAATTAATTTGTCCATCACAAACTGACAATTGAAATGTCCATCAGGTGCGGCGAAATATCACAAACTGATTGCCAAACTGTGTATTTCGATGGCATTTTCCGACACATCTAATTAACTGCATTTCGTAGT